CGCATACATACTGGAACCACTTTCAGTGGCGTAATATACAATACCATGGCCTAGAGTTGCGTAATATATTTTTTAACATAAGAAAAAATCTTCAGGACCGGGAGTTTTAAAACTCCTTGCTTAGCCACGAGAGGAGTTTTAAAACTCCTGCCACCGAAGATTGAAGATTGTCGGGGCCAAGAGTTTTAAAACTCCTTGCTTAGCCACGAGAGGAGTTTTAAAACTCCTGCCACTGAAGATTGAAGATTGAAGACTCCCCGGAACTCTTTCCAGGAATCTTCAGTCTTCAATCTTCGGGGCCAGGAGTTTTAAAACTCCTTACTTAGCCACAAAGGAGTTTTAAAACTCCCGGCCCCTAAGATTGAAGATTGAAGATTCCTGGAAAGAGTTCTGGGGAATCTTCAATCTTGAATCTTCGGGGCCAGGAGTTTTAAAACTCCCTGCTTAGCCACAAGAGGAGTTTTAAAACTCCCGGCCCCTAAGATTGAAGATTGAAGATTCCTGGAAAGAGTTCTGGGGAATCTTCAATCTTCAATCTTCGGGGCCAGGAGTTTTAAAACCCCTTGCTTAGCCACAAGAGGAGTTTTAAAACTCCTGGCCCTGCAGATTTTTTCGGCGTCTTTAAGTATTTGCTATTTCGTATTTTATGTATATCTATAGATATATGTCCATATATATATATATATATCCGGCTTCGAATATAGTAAACACGTCTCGACATAGAAAAGGGTATGAAACGGTAGGTTTTGGGGGGGGGGGGGGGGTATCATATATATATATGCACACACACACACCCGCGCGCGCGCGCGCGCGCGCGGGTTTCGCGCTTTTATCGGGGAACGGGGGGCCAGGGGGGGGGGGGGGGGGTGGGGGGAGGCGGGCGTGGGGAGGGGGGTTTTGGGAGGGGAGGTTTTGGGGAGGGGTTTTGGGTCGCACGAAAAGTGAGGTCGATGAGTTTTGACATTGCATTGTCTTCGGCTAGATCGGCATCAAGCAGTGCCTAGAGAGTGTGAGATACGAGGTTGGGGCATGAGATTACTTGATGCCGAAACAGAGACCAGACGAAAGACATGGAGCTGTTCGTGTGGCAGACAGCTGGAAAGGCAGATCGACATGTTGCTCGTCGGACAGATTCAGAAGTAGATCGATAGATGGATGCTGAGTTGATGCAGACCGATGAGTATGGGGGACAGAGAGGCCGGGTGAACTCGAACCACCCTAAAACCCTAATTAAGCCCCACACCCTAAGCCCGATGCCTCGGGGCCCGGATCAAGAAGGCGCAATTGCATTCAGGCACCCGGCGTCTGAATCGGTTTAGAACTGAAGCGTTGCCCTTCGCCGATTCAGATCCGATTCGGATGTTCGGGTGTCGAGTGCTCAGCCGCTCTATCTCTGTTTATTTAACAATTCCCAAACCCTTCGTCTCCCAAACAGACCTGGAACCCAGCAAAGCAACATTGAAAACGCCCTGAGTTTAAAGAAACGACTCTCAAGCCCTGCGCCCAGCAGTAAAAGACCACCCTCATGAACCTATACTCCCCTTAGAACCTTAATGAAAAACTAACTTGTTAATGTCCTCTTGGGTTTACATACACAAAAAGAAAAAATTATTCCCAGGGGGGCATATAGAAACAGTCCTTCACATCCGTGAGACCGGCTTGCTGCAGCGTGTCGAGGGCCTCGTGCACCTGACATGGAGGCTCATGCTTCAGGATTTCCGGTTCCTTCTCCTTAAGAAAAGGGGGGATTGCTCTAGAGGCTATGGGATCGGGCTGTACAGGGTCTTGGGTGTTTTGGGCTTCTTGGTCATGGGTGTACTTTGTTGCGTGCAGTTTTCGGCAAAGCCATGGGGACTTAAAGCTTGGAAGAGTAGAGTCTACCCTAAACCCTAAACCCTAAACCCTAAACCCTAAACCCTAAACCCTAAACCCTAAACCCTAAACCCTATACTGTAGGGCATGGCTGGCTCAGGCTTCTTTGTCCCACCTTCGTCAACTTGTCCGCCGGAAGTCGGTTGAGCTGAGGTGGGAGGCCTTGGACTTCTGTCCCAGCCAAGAAAACTCCACGTGCTTCGCTGAGTCCATACCTATGCCTATGTCAAAACTCAAAACCCCCATAGAATTACAAGTTTTTTGTTGCCCCCAAACCCTACACAGTCCTACACCCTGAAGGCTGCGGCCGGAGAGTTACAGGATTGCTTGCATCCAAACATCACACACAGCAACCGCCCAGGGCTGAGGGCTACCTTACTTCGGCTCCAAGGAAAAAAGCTGCTCTCCATCAGGGATCCGGAACTGCCGGCTTGATGCGAGCTGTGGGCAAGTGTCTTCCGGTCCCTTCCTTGGGGTAAGTCTTTAAGTACTCTCTGATACCCAAACACTCTAGAAACCCTACGAAACCCTGCGAAACCTTGCAAACCTTAGACAAACCCTGAACCCAAAACCCTGAACCCTCAACCTTAAAGAGCCCCTACAAACACTCTGAAACCACACCAGGCCGTGGGCGCGAGCTCGCCGACTCGCTGCTCGGCGGCGCCTGGCACTTCGAGGCGACGTCGGTGAGGTTTTGGGGTTTGTTAGGGGTTCTGGGGGTTGATGGTTTAGAGGGAACTCCGACCCCCCTTGACAGGGAAAGTTTTCCTCGAAAAGCTGCTTTTCGGGCTTCTCCCGGACCATTTCTAGGATACCTTTCTGAGCTTCTGCCGGTTTCTCCCGGACCATTTCTGCCCGGTCCATTTCTGCGCCGGTTGGGGCTTCTACAAGGCTATTTCTGAGCCTTTTCGGGCGTCTCCCAGACAGGTTCTGAGCCTTTTCGGGTTTCTCCCGGACCAGTCCTGAGCTTTTTCCGGACCATTTCTGAGACTGTTTGGGCTTCTCCCAGACCACTTCTGACATTGCTAGACTTTTTGGTGCTTTCTCCTATAGCCAAAATCGATGGTTTTCGTAGGGTTTATAGGGTTTGTGGGGTTTATGTGGGGTGTATAGGGCTTTGGGATAATAGGTCTACGTCTGGATATGGGTACACTTTGGGTCCCCTGTAGAATTTGTCCCCGTCATGAGAAGGACTTGAGGGAACTCCCACAAAACTGGGGCTGGGGTTTAGGGTTCAAGGTTCTCCAATCGTTAACCTAAGAACGCATGGGAATCTAAACGGGGCTCCTAGACCGTAAGAAAAGGAGGTAGCAAGGTAGCGTTGGCTTGGGACCTGGGATGTGGTGGGGCCGGAGGTGAGGCCTACGTTTTAACTGGCGAGCTTCTTCGTGAAAAAGGCGGCAGTGAGTCGAGCGTGATCTGAGACATAGGCGTCCGCGGGTGCAGCTTGCAAAAAATGAATACAGACAAGGTTTAGGGCTCAGGGGCGCCTCCACCACCTCGGCCTCCTCAGCGTTCACCATGGCCCGCTACTAAGGGAGCCCCTGCACTGCGCCAAACGGTGTTTTTTCAAGCCTTCAAGCTCCGATTCCCATGAACTTGTAAGCATCTCGTGCAAGATACGAGTCGGCTAGCGGCTAACATGGTGCTAAAAGCTGGCAGCGGGCAGAAGCATTCAGCGCGGTTAGCAGGCGGAAAAAAGCCGCACGCGAAGCTTTGCCGTAGTTCGTCGGCTGCCGGGAATGTCAGACACTCAGGTTGCCAAGGCAGAGACCCTCGGGCGGAGAAGTTTAAGTCCTACAAGGTTCCGGCTCGCAGCCGCTCGAACCGTCTCCAAAAATAGCCCTTCTCAGCTAAAGCCCGTAACCCTGAAAAACGACCAGGTGCCTTCTGCATGCTCAGCCTTATGTGAAAACACCCAAAATCTAGATAGCATTCCAGAAAGCCATGCTGAAGGGCCCCCGGGGCCCCGTGCCACGGTCATCTTACCGGCGCGTTCGGGGCTGGTCCGGAAAGCAACGTGACGGGGCCTGTATCCATCCGTGGCTCTTGCAGGGTTTCTATGGGGGTTTCGGGCTTACGGTTTAGGGCCTTCGGGTTTATGGAACGGTTTAGGGTTTATAGAACCCATGCTTGCCAACCCTGCAATGGCCGTAAAACCATCCGAAAAACCACGTGCCCCTGCAGTTTCGCACTTCAAAACCGCTTACCAATGATGTTTTAAGGCTTCTCAACCCACTGTGCACAGCTCCGGTGCCATTTTTGTAAAAAGACGCGAAAGCTCTCAAAAGCCATGTGCCCCTGGGGTTTCGCTGTTGCTGGGCCGACTTTACACCGCCTGGGGTGACTTCCTTCCTCTGCCTTGTTTTGCTGTGTGCCGCAGGGGTTGGGCCGACTTTACACCGGGTGGGTCGAGATAAACCCGGCGCTTGCATCCCTCACTTCTTCGACTTTTCTAGGGTTGATTCAGGGTTGATTATTCAGGGGTGTGTTCTCCGTTTAGGGCCTCGATTTCGTTCCTAGGTTTCTGGAAAGTCTAGCTTAGCACTGGAAGAAAGCAGGGGGAGAAGGAGGAGGGACGGGGACACCAATGGCTTAGGGCCTAAACCCTAGGGTTTTGAAGTAATAGGGTTGGGTTAGAGCCACTCAAGATGAGATCACGAGGCAGGTTGCCTTACTTTACGACCCCACGCCTGCAGCTACTCCTGGAGGGTTGGGCACCGAAGGTTTAAGGGCCTTAAAGTCTTGAATGGGGTTGGGGGTGGCGACTCGCCAGGCTTGTGGGTGTTATTGTTGAGGGTTAACGGGCTGAGGGGTTGCCGGAATAACTAGCTCTTACGTGCAGGCTTGAAGGTTCAGCAGCCTAACGAAATCCTGCTGAACCCTCAAAACCCTCCAGCTTCTCCAGCCCAGGTCCTTGGGTCCCGCGCCCACCCAACCCCCTGAACTACCCTTCAAGTGCAGCGCATTGGGGTATATAAGTCCTTCTGGGAGCTCCGCTTCGGGGGTTGCGTAGGGCTTCCTGAAAACCTGGAAGACCAAGAAATGGGCCAGGGAAGCAGCCTTGGTGCATCTGCCATGCGCACGGCCACTTGCATGTGGTTGTCCTGCAGGTGCAGTTGAGGAATTCAGGGCGTCTCGGGCTTGTCCGTGGCAGCTTGGTCCTCCAAAGCCTGAAGAGGGCAGTATCCACTTGCCGAGAACTACTACTACTAAAGGCCCTCGCATTTTTGAAAAAAACTGGCTGTACGACATTTGCGTGTTGAAGCAGGGGTCGGGTAGAACCATCCGAAGTGGTCTGCAAAGAAATAAACCTGCGGAGCCGTAAAGCGAGGGCTGTCCTTGGACCCGTGGGTCCCTGCATCGAGACCCTGGATACGTCCCTAAATCCCCCCCAAAAAGCCTCAGCAGCAAGGCCAAACCCCAAAAAGTCTAGAACAGACCGAACATACAACAGCAAACACCTGCACCTACACACCCTGCAGGCCCGTCCGTGCCCCCCTCCGCCCCCCCCACCCTTCATGCCTCGGGTAAGACCAGTGGCACCAGGGAGAGCGTCGACCTGGTGGTTCCGTTGAGGAATAAAGGGTGAAGGGGCGAGCCTCTTAAATGCCGGGTTGTAGCTCTAGGATTCAAAGGGCGTACAGGGTTCAGGCTTTAAAGGGTTTAGGTACCGAAAAGGGCTTGCAGCATGTAGGTTTAGAGGGCGCAAAGGGCTCAAGGATGAGGGTCGGGCTCAGGGTCGTTTGGGTTCTTAGAGATCAGCAGCGTTGTTTTACTTGTAGGGGCGCAAGCCCGATCAGTAACCTGACAAATCCTCCAAGTGTACAGGCAAAAACCCTCCCAACAGAGCACGTTTTTGGGGACGTGTGGGTCATTCCCAAAATTGGGATCTGCAAGATACGCCCTCAGCTACTGTCGTCGTTCTTCTATGGACCCCCCTTCACCCTCCAAAAGGGGTCTATCTAAACCTTAAGGGTCAAAACCCTTCACCCCCGAAGAGGGGCACTTCTGAGGCCCTGGCATATCGTAGAACTCCACACCGACACTTTCCGCCCTGGCGCCCACCGCCAGACCTGTACTCTGCTTTTCAAGGCGCCCTTATAACAAGGATTGCAGCACTTTGGGGGGATAGCCTTTGGGGCTTGGGGCGCGGTTTGGGATGTTTGTTGGGGCCTTGGATGGTTCGTGTCAACCTGCACCGGTGTTGAACCTTCAGAGGGGTTGTTGCTATCGGGCTTCCGGTGGCTAAGCCCCATAAAAGCCTAAAGCCTCAGACCCCCAACCCTCAAAAACCTATAAAGCCTTCGAATGCCTCGAAACGAGCATTCAGCTCGGCCTTGGCCAGAGCCCTGCCACACGCCGATGTGCACGCCATAGAAGGAGAAATCCCCGAAAGGCTCCTGGGTCGTAGCAGAGACTTCAGGGAGTATAGGCTTCATGTTCAGGGATGCTGCAATGAAGGGTTACGTAGGGTACCTAGTCCCTGAAATACCGGGGACAAAGAGTCCGTACATGTGTCTCGGGCAGGATTTCGCTTTTGGAGCTAGCTTTGAAGTGCGGCTTGAAAAACTGAATTCCGCATTCGCTGATCCGGGCTTGTTGTTTCGGGTTACCTCCCCTTTCACAAAGGGCGCTCAGTTCCCGTGGCAGTGCTCTTGCGATGTATGGTAATTATCAGACATAGGCAATGGTCTTGGAGCCCCTTGAAGACGCTGAAAGCCAATGCGCTCATGTCGAAACGGTCGCTTGCCAAAGAGTTCAACCTAAACGTGCGTAAACAATCAGGTAAGATCCAAACCCTGAATCTGAAATTGCAACCACTAAATTAAACATGCAACCCCTTCACCCCTAACCAAAACACCCTCATCATCAAAACCTGAAATTTTTACCGAAGCCCATAAGCTCAAAAGCCCAAACCCCCAAAGCCAAAACCATACCTTCTAAAGCTGCCCTTTGCAAACCTCTTAGGAGGTAGGGTTTAGGGTTGATAGGGTTTAGAGTTTAGCGGTTGGGGTTTGGGGTTTGGGTTGTTTTGTTTTTTGTTTGTGTTTTTTTTGGGGGGGACTGTTGACACGGTGACACGAAACAATATGTATATATATATATATAATATTTTCCCTATATCCCAAACCCCTACACCCTACTAAGCCCCAAACATCCTCAAACTCTAAATCCCCAACTCGAAAGCAGCTCTCCTCCGAAGAAGGCCCCTGGACGGGTGGCAGCGCATACCCCGAGTTCAACACCTTGGACGCTTGAGGGTTTAGGGTTAAAGGGTTGAAGGGTTGAACGTGGACGAAGGTTCGCGTTCCGTCCCGACCCGCCCTGCTTGGTCGGATTTATAGATTGTGTATCTACTTTGTCCGGGTTTCCGGGATACAAGCCTCATAAGCAATACCCGAATCGCCAGCACAGAAAAGCTTCCAGAAGATCTGAGGTGACGGCAGACCACGTCAATCGCGGTATGGAGATGGCCTTTCCAAAGCATGTCGAACTGCTGCTTCGGCTTCGGAACTGCTTGAGGACGACTGCTGGAGGGTGAGAAAGCGGAAGAGCTTGAATGAAGTGTTCACATAGCCCACATGTAACACCCTGTCGTCCGAGGCGTGTGCCACAGACAGCTCGGATGGCAACGGCGCGAGGGAAGCTGTGGGCACCTGCGACAGATGCAGGAAAGATCTAGAAAATACAGTTGAGCACAAGTTAAGCGGGCAGCGCTGTTCGTTGCAATGTTGTGTAGCAGTGCAACAAGTCATGTGCAGCTGGCAGCAGGAGCAGGTTCCTCCAACCATGCCTACAGCGGGTCGCACGCACGAAAGCTGGCATCTGGAAGCAAGGCTGGAAGACCCAGCCCCCTGATGCAGTTGTAAGATGGACGGTTCTGGAATACGTAATGCAAGTTCCTTTCAACCAACTACCCTGCAAGGCACACACACACACACACACACACGCAGCTGTTGGCATGTATCCGAAGCCTGGACTCCGTGACACACACACACACATACACAGCTGGCATGCTTTCGGATGTCCACCGGCTCTCTGGAACAGAAGCATGAACAAGCGAGCCAAATGGAGGTTGGCACACCGCACACCGTAGGTCACACAGCGGTGCAGTCGCTGATGAACTGCCTCCAGCTCCACCAGAAGCCGGTCTGGATCCCTGCGCCATGGTTTTCGGGTCTTTGGTAGGAGAGAAAAAACCCCAAAACCCAGCCGTTTTACAGTTCGGGCTGACTTGTTCCACCCTGTTTGCTACAGGTTTCCCTCCTAAAGCCGCCTCCGATCCACCCCAACAGTTGCTCCTCTTTAGACGGTAGCCCCCCCTTCCCTCCTGAGGAGGGGAATACTACGGGACTGTGCATGATTCAGGGCTCCACGTTCGGGTGCACTCCCAAGCTTGCTTACGTACAGACCTGAGCGGGGGTCGGTTGGGCTCATTCAGCAGCTCCACACCATCCTAGAACCCTAAAGGCCTAAACCGCCGGGCGTTTGGCGGTCGAGGCTTTCTATAGGCAGGAAGCTCGAGGCTTCCGCAACCCTGCTCCAGGGCCTGGTCAAGCCCAGCAATTGCACGCGAAGCCGCGTCGACGCCTGCATGTGGAGGGCTTCTTGATTAGAGTTTGGGTCTACGGTTCAGGTGACGGGCAGGGTTCGGGGGCTCGACAAGGCGAAGGACAACCAAGGCAAGGGCCCAGGAATGCGAAGCTGAACCTATCCGCCAGCCGAAGCCAAGACAGCGCAAAAGGATGCTGCTTCCAAGCCTCGGCTGGCCCTTTCCTAACCCTTCCTGCCTGCGCCATGCGTGCGAGGACGGCATCCCCGGACCTCGGCCGGTTTTCCAACTGTATGCGCCTTTCAATATGTGCCATACGCATTTGGCACGGCCGTCATTTGGGGCTTTCTGTGTTATTAAAGGTTCATCCTTGGGAGTAGGGGTGTGGGTTGGGTATATGATTCAGCTACAGGCGCGCGACGACCCTGGCACCAAACACGACGCGCAAGCCACCTCGCAGCAAAGAACAGCCCAGACGCGGCACTCTGACCCCGACTGAGTGCACTCCCCACTGCAGACCTAACCTGTCAGACAGCCCCACATCCCACGCCCCACCGCGGAAGGAAGGTCTTTTCTTTCATTCTCGTTTCTATGTGTGTGCGTGTGTGTGTGTGTGTGTGTGTGTGTGTGTGTGTGTGTGTGTGTGTGTGTGTGTGTGTGTGTGTGTGTGTGTGTGTGCATGTGTGTGTCCGACCAGAAACTCCCCTAAACCCTAGACCCCAAGCCCCTAAACCCCCTCAACCCTTAACCCCCGAAACTCCAGAACCCAAACCCTTAACCGTACCTTTGCGGCCCACGTGGCTCGAAGCCGGTGGCCTGGGCGCCGCTGACAGCGACCCATCGGCCCAAGGACGCATCAAAGGACGACACCTGACGGGGTGCAGGGGAGGGGGAACCCTCTAGCACTGATGGCCACAGGCAGGGAAAGGGCGAGCGAGAACCCTAAACCTTGATTCCATTAGAAGTCGATGCGCTCGGTTGTGACGGTTTGCGTGCCTATTTTAAGTCTGCAAGAGAAACTACGGGCTACCCCCACGCACCATAAAAGACTTTACTCCTTCTATATAAACTCCAAAGCTTCAAAATACCGGATATTCGCCTCATAGTCCAGGGACGGCTGAACCCGGCTCGCTTTGTCCATCGGATCCTCGGTGGGCGGGTTTATAACGTGTGCTCCCTGACTTGTAGCTTCACTCCTGACCAGTATACTACCCCTCAAGTCTAGGGACTACGCTCGCCCAAGAAAACGAGAACCTCGCATGTCTGATTTGGCATCCAACGAACCCTCCGAACTGCACCCCTGAACCCTAAAGCCTAGAACCCGAGCCCCAGCACGAATGCCGCAAAAAACCCGAAACTGCAGGAGTTCGGGTTTAAAGTGGAGTTGCCTTGAGGGCTTCAGGCTTCAGGGTTAACATCTACAGATCCGAGAAAAGGCCTTGAGCTTTGGAGCTCCGCAAGCAACAATTCGATTAACAATCCCTAGAGCTGACCGTTCCCAAGGTCAAAAAACCTACACCAACTCATGCTGTCAACTAAGGTACTTCTAAGTGCCAAATGACCTTATAGCTATACATGAGACCTGCCAGTGCTTAGGTGGCAGCTCGCCAGTCTCGAAAGACCTAGGCCACGTGAGGCAGTTTAGTGTTCAACATTAGAATGCCTAGTGACGTGTAGCGAAGAGTACTGTAAGGGTGGCGGGGTGTGGCTGGCAACTAGGCTGTGAGGGGATTCAGGTTCGGGGTGCAAGCATAAACTGAGTCCAAGGATTGATGCCGCACTTCTTCTGCCAGTTGGATTGAGAGCCGCCATGAAACTCAATGATCGACAGGACGCGCAAAGCAGCTAAGAACTGAGTCCAGGCCGGCAACAAACAACACGCACGCATGCACGCACGCGAACACACACACACACACACACACACACACACACACACACACACACACACACACACACACACACACACACACACACACACACACACACACACACGCACACGCACACGCACACGCACACCCACACACACACACACACACACACCACAAAGACAAAACACAACAACACAAAACAAACACACACACACACACAAACAAACAAACCAACAACAAACAAACAAAAAAAACAAACAAAACGAACAAACGAGCGTTTTGACTTTGACGCTTTGCGTCTGTGCTACAGTGAGCATAGCCCAGCATGCGCGTGACCATGTCACAACAAACGAACAAACGAACGAACAAACAAACAATCAGCACGTAACAAAACAAAACAAAACAATACAACACAACACACCAAAAAACTAAACTAAACACAACAAAACAACAACACATCGTAACAATACATAACGTAGCCAAACAAAAAACAAGAAACAAAACACACACACACACACACACGCAAAAGACAACACAACGCAACACAACACAAAACAACAGCACAAATCACAGCAAAACATAACAAAGCAACACAACACAGCACAGCACAGCACGGCACAACACAAAACCAAACACAACAAAACAAAACAACTAACACACACACACACACAAACATACACACGCACAAAACAAAACAACAAATTCTCTCTATTCGAGCCCAGCCGAGTTGCAGTTCAGTGTTGGACTTTGCCAAGATTGCGGCGGCGAGAAGCACAAACGACAGAGACCCCCGGATAAACCCCCACAACAGCTTGCACACCACTCCCGAGCAAAAACACGCACCCAGCAAGCTTCCGTCAACCCCCGAATGTCAACTCGAGGCTTCCCGATTCTGGCGACACAGAGACTTACACCCGCCCAACAGGCAAGCGAAGCACGCCTTCCCGGACACACACAAAAACCTAACACACGAAGCAAAGCACTCCACGCTGGAGCTGAGATGCCAGGACATCGCGGACGCTGCTGGCCGTGGCAAGTCGTAATTCCAGGCAGCTGGCCTTACCGGGGGGAAAGAAGGGTAAGCATCCCCCTCACCCCTGAGTTTCTTGTAACTCCCTGATACAGCGGAATAAAGCCCCGAAACTGAACCCCCCCGACGCTAAGCCTTCATTCCTGAAGGGGGGCCTTCTCCTCGGTCGGCTGCAGGGCTGCCTGCCGCAGTAGCCAGTCTGTTAAGGATTCTTGGGGTGGGGTGGGGGGGGCTTTGCTACGGTGTCAATCAGGGTGTCAAGGGCTGAAACTGGCTGAAACTTTTGCGGCAAGCCAACATGCCCACCGAGTTAAGTCTTTTAACATGATTTATATACTCCTGTGTACTGCATGCAATTGTACGCACTGCGTGGCTTGGTTGTGATGGCGAAGTGCTACAATAGTTACTTCATGATGATCTTACATTCTCCATGGCATCCGGGACTGTACGACCGCCTTCCAGCTGGAGGTGTCTTCTTCCAGCAGCGGTGTCCTGCGTGGCATGCAGTGGGAAGGCGTTCTCTGTATATTTCCTGGAGGTTGTGCGGCTCGGAATGCGTTTTACGTTCTCGATGGTCCGGTGCAATTGCTGCCCTTGACTGAAGCTTCACCCGCTTCGAGGTCGAGATCCCGAAACTCTACACCCCCAAGTCGCATTAGAGTTCATGTAGGGTTGAGGTTTGGGAGCTTCGGGGACAATGGAGTTGCCAAGGCTCTGAACCCCAAGTAAAGCCGGGCCTTTGCACCATCAAACGAACTGGACCTGGGCTGCCAAGTGCTCTGTCTCCCTCTCCCTCTCCCTCTCTCTCCCTCTCTCCCTCTCTCTGCTCTGTCCCTCTCCCTCTCTCTCCGTCTCTCTCTCTCTCTCTCCCTCTCACTGCGGGGGGGGGGGGAGTTACGAGATTAGAGGATCAAGGAGGTCGCCTTCCCTGAGGCCAGTCACCTCATCCTCCCTCCCGACCCCCTTTTTGCCTGGGAATTCCCCACGGGGAGGACCAAGGGGCGGTGATGCAGATGGATTCCGTGCTGACGTTTTTGGGTAAATCTGCGAGAATTCCACCAGTAGACTCTTGAGCAGTTTTGGCCTAACCTGCTAGTGGGGTCGGGGGTGAGTCAGCAACACCACCAATACCTGCAACCCCAACCAAAACCTTCTTGTGCCCCGACGCCTCCCAAACCCAGGCAGCAAAATCCCGAACCCTGGCCGCTAAACCCCAAAACAGTTCGAGCTGTGGCTCGTGTATTTAGTGCTTTCGAGATTGGAGTTTGGAGGTCTGGGTTGTGGGTTTGGGATTTAGGGTTTGGGCGGTAGGGTTTGGGGCTTAAGATGGTTCAAGGTTCAGGGCTTGGGGCTTCCAGGCTTTGAAGGCTTGAGGCCTAACCCCTAAACATACCCGAAACCCTAAGCCCTAAACCCCAAGCCCTAAGAAACCCTATTCACGTCCCACTTCCCTCTCAGAGGTAGGTCCCCCACCCGGAGTCGAGCCAGGCTCTTCCGGGGATGAGGCCTCCACCCGCGTCGTTCGAGTGATGCTTGTATAAGGGGCCTTAATCATTAGAACAGGGTTTTTTTGGGGGGGGGGGGGGTGATTATGGTAGATATACAAAGGGAGCAGAAGGGATACTACGAGTAATTATTCCGACCCCTATGTTGTTTAATAGGGTTGAGGCTCTGGGCTAAGGGTTTAGGGTTCGGGGATCGGGGGCATACGATGATACGGACCCCCCAAAAGTGACCCTGGCCACAGGGTTCAGGCGTTCAGCGTAAAGAGGAATCATCTCCCCATTCGGGAGTTTAGCGGATGGTGCAGTGCAAAGGTTCCGTATTTCTTTCGAGAATGGTGTTCGATTCGAGGGCGTGGCCCTTGAAAGGTTGCGGTGATCTACGCCCCTGCCGTGTACGAAGCCCCAAACGCTAAACCCTTGCCACCTTCCCCTGAGAGCCTGAAAGTCACACTGGGCCAGGGGCTTCTCAGCAGGGTCCACGTGGTGGGATTGGTGGGATGCTGGGGGAGTTGGAAAAACGATGTTGTTGAGGCTGTTTTCCCATCTTCGGATGTCCCAAACCTTGTTCTTTCAACATTTGCGGGGCGTGAACCCTTGAAACCCTGAACCCGAAACGCTTCGGCCCTAAACCATTGTGATGCTTTGGGGGCTTTGGGGGCCCCGGAGGCGCACTATGAGGTTTCAGGTCTTTACGGTATCAGAACCGTCACTTTGAAATCTTCCCATTTAACCCGGGCTTTACATGCCCTAAACCCTTTAAACCTTTTCACCCTATAAAACCTACAAACCCTATAAACCCTGCAACCCCTATAAACACTATAAACCCAATAAACCCTACACTCCCCATAAACCCTGTAAACCCTATAAACCCTGTAAGCCCTAAAAACAAACCCGAGAAACCCTGTAAGCCCTATAAACCCCATTAAACCCTTCAAACCCTATAAACCCTATACACACTGTAAGCTCTATAAACCCTATAAACCCTATAAACCCTATAAACCCTATAAACCCTTCAAATCCTATAAACCCCTACAAACAAACCCCTGAGCAGTCCAGAAGGCGTGCGCCGTTTCCGACTCACAAAGGGGTGCCTCCGCGGCATCGTCGCCCTGCAGCCATAGGTCCAACCACCTTCAAGCCATGGGGCTGTGGACCATTAGGGTTTTCGGAGCTTTAGGGCTTTTATTGGATTTAGTGGCTTTTTAGGGGTTTGAGGGTCTAGGGGTTGAAGGGTTTAAGGGTTGTGGGGTTGAAGGCTGCAAACATTTTGGGCTTTGGGCGGCTGCTGGGTTCTTGAAGTGCCCTGAGGACACGCCAACACACCATGATCCAAAAACTACCCATATAACACAGCAACAACAACTTATGATCTTCATGAGCCGTAGCGTGCTAAGGAATACCTCTCAAACCATTCAAAACCCTGTGGCTTGTCGGATCCTAAGATCTCCGCAAAAGATGCGTCCTCAGTGCCGGGCAGGCGCTGAACCTCTGCCTCCGGCCTCCGAAGAAGGAAGGGTGCTCTCTGGCTTCTCAGGGCTCCCGGAAGCTCGAAGACTCTCAGGGCTCCGGCTCCGACTGTGCGGGTCTGAAGGTTTCGGGCTGCGTGAACCCTAGGAGGCCTTGTAGGGCTTGAGCGGGATTTGGTGGAGGTGACTTTGCGCGAGGATTGAGGTGTTGTTCATGGCCCCTCCTTTGACTGGGATGCAGGGCTTCATGAGACCCACCATGCCTCAGGCATCCCAAAACCGTAAACCCTAATTCAACCTAAACCCTGAACCCTGCCTCTGGTACGCCTCCGTCTTGCAGGCGCGCGGTTGTTCCGGAGGGTCTTCCTCCGGGTTGGCGGTCAGGGTCCAAGGTCTAAGGCGGGTGGATAGGCTTGCAGGAACTAAATGCAGGTACAGATATATAAATATGAATATTCAAATAAAAATTTCTGTATATCTAAATGTAGATTCATATCTCTCATCTCAGACGACGTTTTCTTGAGAAATATTCTGATATAGATCGTATATGAACACGTGTAGACAGAACAGATATACATGTAACTGTAAATAAAGTGTATAGATAGATAGAGATATATATATATATGTGTATACATATAATAATATATACTGGATAACCTCTAAGCCGGCTTCTGTCGGGAGCCGGGAATCCCGAAGCTCAGTCCCAACGCCCCGTTTTTCTGACCCCCAAGCGATCGCTTCTAGGGCTTGAAGATGCTTGCTATGGAAGCCCTGGACCAGCAAAGTTAGCAAAGGGCTTCGGGCATATCTGGAAACCCTGGTTGCCACCCCAACTGTAGTTTCCCGGTAGTTTGTCCCCACCCTCGGTGTGGGGTTTGAACTAAACTCGTCGATTCTCCTCGCCCGGTTTACTCCTGAGGATCCCTCAAAGGGTCCCTGGAGTGCCCAACCTCAGAGTATTCCCAAGACTCCCTGGTGTGACCAACCGCAGAGTAGGACGGCCCACACATTCCAAATCCGGAGGTTGGGTGGGGATGTTCGTATATGTATATATATATATATATATCCAGCTGACCCTCTGCCGCCTGCACCTGGACCTTGTCCGGATCACGGAAACTCGCGACATCAAGGAGGAGGCCGAGCCTCGTGAGCTTCGGATTCGGTCTTTTTACTGGTTCAGGGTCTAGCAGGAGGGTTTGCGTAGAAGTGAACGCACTGAGTCCATCATGCGCAGATCCTTGAAGCTAAATCCCAAACCCTATACAAGTACTTGTGGTCCGACCCTATGGACCTTACACGTCCTGAAGCTACATCCATGGCCCTGTGAACTTCAAATCCTGTACGCCCCAGACTCCGGCTCCACCCAATACCTAAATCTGGCATTGCCTAGTATCGTAGGAATAACCATGGTGCCCTGACACTTGTTGGGAGAGCCGGGAAAATTCGCAGTTGTAGAGGAAGGAAAGAAAGGAACCACTGGCATGGGGAGATTGGGGCGATGCCCCAGCAGAATCTGTGCACCCCGGCTGCCAGGCCCCAGCAGACCAGCGCATCGTCGAGCAGCTCAGCGACAAAGCCGTGCGTGGCGCCGCCGCCAGAGCCTGAGGGCTTAGGGTTTTTTTCGGGCTTAGGGGTGTTTTCGGGCTGTCTGGTTATTCAAGAGGCTGCGAAGCCTTGCCAGGCTTGTGGGGCTTTATGGTCAAGTCTCTAAGGCTAGGGTTGGGTTGGTGGGCAATTACATTTGGGGCTTTGGGATGCTTTGGGGTTGCCGGAGGGTGCAATCTCTCTCGCTCTCTCTCACTCTCTCTCGCTCGCTCGCTCTCTCTCTCTCTCTCTCTCTCTCTCTCTCTCTCCGAAAACAAGAGGCATCGATCCAGACTGGGCTCCCGCACTATGTCGCTGAGCAGGGGCGAGATGGTCACCTTGGTGAGTCGAAGAATCTAACGCAACTTCTTGGGGCTTTGGAAGTCTACCAGGGTTGAGGTCTGGTTTCAGGCAATTTGGGGGGGGGCGGCTTGTTGCTTAGAGGGTGCTAACAGGGAGCCCTAAGCCACGCCCCATACACCCTGCAAGCTCTGAACCGACCTCGGACCCTGGGACTGGGAATATTGTGCGGCCACGGTGCCAGCGACAGGTCCAATGAAAGCCTCGGCTCGGGCAAGCACTGAGCTTCTCAGCTGAGGATCGAGGTGATTTTTGGACTTTAGGTTTAGGGCTTCAAGTGCAGGGCTTCGGGGAATAGAGTTTCGGAACCAGGGTTCAGAGGGCTTAGGATTTAAAGGAATTAGGAAACAGGATGTAGGGCTTACAAGGTTTCGGTTGTAAAGTTGAGAAATTGCAAGCTGCAACGTCCACACCCAATGCTGAGTTAGGTTGAGGCGCCGACGCCTAGGTCCTAGGCTTTACTTGCAGGTTTAAGTTTAAGGGCGCCAAGTACTACAGGAAGAGACAAGGGGCGCCTCATTTTCCGAAAGAGCTGCATGTCTCCCTGAGTCTCGCATGTTGGATTAGGTAGAAGTCCCGCCGTGACAAGCGAGCAGAAACTGGAATAGAAGAAGCTGCTGCATACCTACGCCAACCCAGGCATCCGATACAGCATGCCGCATGCCTACCCCATGGCCGGCAACGCGGATGGATGGCGGTGCCCACCCTGTAATTACAAGACTACGCAAGAGCTATAATCGCTAAACGCAAAAGATAGATAACACTTCGCAATACGATTCTCCTTCGAGAACTACTGCACATGTTTGGGAGCGAGAACGGCATCTTTTTGACCTCCTGGAGCAGCGAGGTATGACAAGCAAACACTTGTTACAAATGCGGATGCGGCATAGTTGCAGGGCTCAGAAAGAAGTCCCAGCCCAGGCACGGTGCCAACAGCGGCGCGGGAGCTTCGTCGCGTTGGGCGTCCACGGCCAGCACCTGGACACGCCGCCATGGGCTCGCATAGGGCTGGTATATAGGGGTCCAGCGGGGTGATTGAGTTGTAGAGGTTAGTTTTTTTTATTTTTTTTTGGGGGGGGGGGGGGGGGGTTTAGGGGTCTTGGTAGGCTAGGGCTCTGGGGTTTAATAGAGTCCGATGTTCTCAATCTCATGGGACCTCGCAAAGGCGGCGGGGAGGCGGGGTGGCGGGGTGCTAAACCTCGAAGTCGGAAGCTCCTCCTTCTCCCTCCCGCGAACCCTAAACCCATGACCCCCCCCCCGCCCCGCCCCGGATGCCTCGACGGACACCTCAAGGCGCTGTGCTGATGTCGGCGGCAGCCCTGGCGGGCAAACGGCCCGCTCCTGACGCTTTTCGGGCTTGGAGATCAACAGCGTGCCTTATGGATGGAGGACAGTCGGGCTTCGAGTTCAGGGCTCGATGTCTTCGATTCAAGGTTTTTCAAAGGCCTGGGCATCAGTAAGGTTTACTCAGCGCGGGCTTCGCGAGCCAAGTGGAAGCCGCGCAAGTACTAAAAACTATTCGGGTTCAGGCCTTATTCCCTGAATCCATCTGAATCCCCAAAGCTGCACATCTTCGTGACTCCCTGCCGTCCTTTGGCTTTGACACCAGGGATGCCCCGGAGCCGCGCAGTGTCAGCCTCCTGATGGGGTTTAGGGTTCAGGGCACTATGAGGCTCCGTTGGGTTTACTTTGCTTGGCGTCGGCTCGTGCTACCTGGGTCGTTTACCATTGAGTTCGCTCCAAGTAGATGCAAGCGCCTCAGAAACGCATGGAACTGGATTTTGACACCTTGTCGATGGCTTGGGTGGCCGCAAAACCTTAATCCCCTCCCACCTTGAAAACCTCCCCCCCAAACCCGAAACCCTAAACCCAAAACCGAAAACACACGATCCTGAAACCAGATTTGCAGTAGTCTTGCTGGGCTTAAGTCCAGGGCCTTCCGAGGGGGCTCGATTAGGGTTGAGGGTTTAGGGTTTAGGGAACTTAGCGGGAACTGCTCCGAATTCCACCAGGAGCGAACTGTTCCTTACTCAGCGAACTGGGAAGCCAGCGGTGAAACTCTGGCCCGAGCCTCTGCGTCTGTCGCACCGACGGACAAAGGCGCAACTCGAAGGCCTCGGCCGTGGCAAATTTGGGACTCAGAGCGTCGCGGATTTTCTTGGTGGTTAAACATTCGGGCTTCGGAAGCTATGGAGGAGTTCAGGGGTGTTAAGGGGATTTAGGGACGGGGGATGGGCATCCGGGTTTAGGATGAACCCTGACCCTGCACCCCACCCGAAAGCCTGGTTTGCAGTCGATCGGGTCTCTGGGTTTCCTTAGGTTTAGGGTTTGATCATAGTTAGCTGGCTGTCAAAAAGAAAACAACAGCTAAGAATGGCTAAAGTTTCATGTGAAGCGGTGGATCAGGAGGATGCGAGCCGTCGAGGGGCCTCTCTTCAGGGACAGATCGCAAGTGCGAAGCGTCCCTTTTAACTCCAACGGAATGTACCCCAAAAGTCGTATCCACCTTGCTCAGCCCTCTCAACCCTAAGCCACCCGAAACCCCTAAGGCAGAAACTCCGCAAGTGCAGGCGAGGAACCGTCACGAGCAGCCGGAAGAGGGTGCCGGCAGTCTCGACATCCGGCGGGGCATCCCCCTCCTGTCACAGCCACCCGTCTCAAACTTTCCCCCATAGACCCCTGCATGCCATCATCATCAACACAAGAAAAAACCTATATCATCTCCCAACAAACCTCCAGAATAGTAGCTCTGACTGTGTCACGAGTCAGTTAAGCGCTTCTCATTTCTTGCAGTTGCTGTTGTTTCTACGACTTGTGTTTCTGTGTGTTCTGGTCAGAACCCGCTGATTTCATATTGGCTGGGGCTACTCTTCTTGACCACTACTTTCCCCCCAACTGCACGGGATGGCGAAGCTTTCTATTGTACTGCACTTTTTTGCCACGCCGCCACTCCTCGCTGCCTCAGCGCTTGAATCTTGCCACTCCGCCAGGGGCTTTCGAGCAGGCACTTGAACGCACGCATAATTAAGAGGGAATGGGCAGTGGGTACTTATGGAACCACGAAACAGCTCAAACACGAGGACCTGCGGTATGGGTTTCAGGGTACCATTACTGCAGAAAATCCAGCAGCTCGGCAGCTGTAACATTGCGCAGCTTCTCCACATCCAGTTGGCTCAGCGCCGGCTGCAAGAGCTGGCTGGCTGAGCTGAAAGCTGCCACCAACAGCGACACAATCCATCCGTTGCGCAGGTTTGAGGTGACTGTCAGCCCGAGGAGGGTCTGCCTCTCGTCATGCACGCTCAGCCGTCGCTGCATGGAGCGCAGCATGCGACAAGCGTGCTGACGCTCTGCATCGCTGCCGGCAGACTTTTGTCCTTCCAGCTCTGCATCAGCCAAAACAAGCATGTGGCGTTCCAGGACAGTGTTGACCTTGATACACACGTCGAACATCTGAAAACATGCAAACACCAAGACGACAAAAGGCACCGCCAGCAGGACTGCCCCAAGCGACAGTGGGCTCCCGTGAAGGAACCACTCAACCAAGGCAGCAAACACTAAAATCACCAGAAAACAAGCCACAATAACTCCGCACGCATCCATGATGGCGGATTCGTCTTGAAAGTCCACCACCAGGTAGTCCCGCAGCGCCCACCAAGTTTGCAAGTCAACGCTGTTCCGCAAATCTAGCTGAACATCCTCGCGACCCGGGGCATTCGAAAGTAACCTATTCAGCTCCACGCGCTCATCAAACGGCAACCTGCTAACATCGTAGCTTCTGACTAAGGCTGTGAAGATCAGCAATTGCTGCCAGTTTCTTGTCATGCTCGTGGTCGAAATGAAGATGCCCGACAAGAGTCTCAGCCAACCCAAACCAACTACCAGACTGGGAACTTGAAACATGAGCCGGAGCCACAATGCTTGATCGTTTTCGCCGGCATCCTCCGGGAACTCTACGCGAAATTCCGCAAGGTTTATGGAATAGGACTGTTGGTCTATACGTTGCTGCCATCGGAAACGCAAGATGATTGCACCTGCAAGCATTGTTGCTGAGGAGCTCCAGGCGATGAGCCTATCATGCCATGATGTTGAAAATGTGCCTCTGTCGACTTGACTGAAACTGGCAGGAGGCGGGCTGATCGTCCAAATACCTGGAAATATCGCCTCAAGCCAGCGTAGTATTTTTTTCGCCTTACCAGGCAGTCGTCCTTCTGCGTGTGCCTTGTGCAAAAAAATATGTGCCTTCACTTCAACTTTGTGCACCCTCAGAATGCCCCATAGAAGTGCAACGCCCGCTGTAAACATCTTGCTGAGCAGCCGATATTCAAAATACTCCGCGATTACCCGCGGACCCGTCTCAGTGTAGTTGATGAACATCAGCGTCAGCTCCAGAATGAACACAAGCTCGAACACCCAATCCACACAAATAACACACCAAGAAAGCAGGTCCAAAAGAACTAGGATGCCATTCTTGCCCAGATCAGGCCACAAGTGATAGTTCTTAACGTGCAGCTTGCCGAAATACGGGACTACAAAAACCTCGATGCCGGGGAGCATGCAAAACAGCACCATCAGCACGCGAACGGCCACTTGCTGCCAGCTTCTCTGAATGTCAAGAATAGTCAATTCTGGTTTGCCGGTCCTGAGAACAATTTGAGGGCTGCTCTGAGCAGCAAGCCGACAACCTGACCCATATCCGAAAACTGTCTATCCCTGTATGAATGTCAAGTTTTTGGATGATCTTCGACAGAAGTCAGGATCACGCCCAATGTGAACAAGTCAGCAAAAGACAGGCGGTCTAGAGATTGAAGCTCTCTTGAAGGGCATTCTTGCCAAGGAACCAGATGTTGAAGGTGAACTCACTGTCGGCTTTGAATCTGTTCACAGAAACCCCTTATAAACCAAGTATTAAATGACAGGTACACGCTTACAAGAACCGGGCTAGTGTTCTGTGAGTTAGTTCGTTCAGGTCCCTAGGACATATCACAGCTTTCTTCATATACGGCTCGACCGTTCAGCAGTCTCTCAACTCAAGCAATGTTGACATATATTCGCGCTTGGCTAATTCAGGGAGGTTTCATGTAACAGTTTGACCACAAGACCAGGGGACCAGAGGACCACGAGACCACGGGACCACAAGACATGGAACCAGACTGACAGAACAAGACGAAAAAGGAAGAGCCAGACCCCACAAAAAAGAAAACGTGGGAAACCTTTGGTGGAAGTTCTGCCAAAACAACGAGTCCACATAAGTCAAGTTTCGGGAACACTTGGCCCCAATGTGCCTTCGCTGATTCAAAGCGGCAGGTCTCTTCTGGGCCAGCTTGCGGCGCACCATCCGTGACGGAACTCCAGCAGCCGTCAACACTGTCTCGGCAACGTTCACAGTCTGTGGGGGCACAAAGGCGCAACGCAGCTTCCATCAGGGGGGCGGATGCAACATCCTTGGGAGGCTGTGTGGCATCTGCTGAAGCAAAGATCTGATGCCCAAAGGGGTCAGAATGTTGCATCTGGCCAGTTGCTGATGGCCCACCACAATCAGAGCGACTTGGAAATGGTGAGGGCACAGTAGCCACATGTCCTTCGGCGTCCATGTTGAAATCGGACGAAACGTCATCACTCAAGGCATCGTGCCCGCAGGGTGTGCCTTCTTGGATGTCAGCTATCTCCTCGAAGTCATCCAAGGAGTCACTCCGACCAATCAGCGAACCCGTCAAAGGCTTGCTGCCCTCTTCACTCCTCAGCGTTTTCGTTCTTTTCTTCTTGACACGCTTCTCGGAGCTCATGCGGCACAGGGGACATGGAGCTTTGCAGTACAGCTTTGGCATTCTGGGAGCTTTGCTGGCTTGAGCCGCCTCACACATCTGGATGCCTCAGCAAGAGGGATTTGCGGCCTTGCATCCATCGCTGTATCATGCTAATGAGATGACAACGTGTTGTGATCACTTCTACTATGATTGCTGATAACCCGCGTCAAAGACCAACCTTTGCAAAGCACGCATCCGAGAAAAACAATCAACGGCCCACACCCAAATCACCAGAAGACCCAGCTCCCTCCCCCCCCCCCCCCCGGTCGCCGTCGTTGCGCTCTCCACGACCTTGCCTGGAGACACCTGGCGAAGGTCCGGGCCAGGCGGCTTCGCTAAGCATAGGCCAAAATGCCCCAAACCTGTAATCCTTAACCTCAATGGTTGAGAAAATATGGCTATCTTGCCTTAGACCCCTTGATTTCTTTGAAGAGTATGCCCAAAGGGTTATGTTGAACATTTCTTTTACCTTCCAAACATGGAAAGAGTGGAGCCCGGGTCTCCAGCAAACCCAAAGGCAAAGGCAAAGGCAACATCTAAGCATTCCCTACGCGCGACATCCCTAAACCCTAAACCAGAACAGGCCCAAGATCCTACAAGCCCTTAATCCCTAAACGCTCTACTTTCGAAGACCCTAAACCCTAAGTCCCTACATCTCTAAACGCCAAACCCCCTAAACCCACCGAACTGCCTAAAGCTCTAATCCAAAACCCACCAAATCCCGTAGACCCTAAACCCCCTAATACCCCCGAAAGCACACTCTAAAGCCTCCCCTAAAGCCACCGAAACCCGAAACCCGAAAACCCGAAAACCCGAAACCCGAAACCCTAAACCCTAAATCCTAAACCCTAAGCCCTAAACCTAACATTGTAGCCTTGAGGCCAGCAGTCCCGGCCTCGCCCGCACTGGGCCACAGCGCATCAAGGTCGCCAAAGAGGCGCCCGGTGACCTCTTGCGGCAGTCGCAGATTAGCACTCAACATGGTATATGCTCCGCTTAATGGTATGATCTGATCTGGCATGACATGATTACATATATAGAAACGATATACATATCTATGATGTATATATATATATATATACATATGCTAGCTCCTCCTCCGCTGGGTTATCCACGCTTTCTGTGGCTGCTAGCGAATTAGGTCGTTTGACAGGTCGCAGGCCGACACAAAAATTGGAAGGCTGTTAGGTTATGATTCGGGGTCAAATTCTATTCAGTAAATTCTATTCAGTGCATCATAACGGCTTGTAACTTGAAGATGCTTCCATTCATTCATGACACGGCAGGGCTTCAGGGTCTAGAGTGGTGAGAGTCCTGTGGGAGTGAATAAAGGTGATTCGGGTTTCATCCCCTTCCCCATCCCTTCGCTGCGAGAGTGGAGACGCCGGAGCCCCAAAGCCGTTGTCCAGGCATCTTCAAGGGGGTACCGAAACCCTACCCGACATCAAACTTAACCCTGTAATGCTCGAGGCCTCCGAGAGTGATTCATTTTAGGTCCCGGAACTTCTTCAGAAAGAGGGGACGTCTAACCGTCACAACCCCGACAGCCCCCGCAACATAAATCGACGCTGGGAGCGGCGCGAGGTGTGCTTTGAGACCTTCCTGGATAGAGACCTCACATTCTAACCGCTTAGCGTTGATGTTCGGGTTGGGTGAATTCAGAGCTTCTGAGAAGCTGCCCCTGTGGCGTTTGTGTTCGGGAAGCCGTGCTTCTTCGCGCAGCGGTCTAGAATCTAGAAATGAGTTTGCGATGGCAAACATGCAAACGTACAAGGGCGTCTGCGTTGCTAAGGCCATGCCTTCATCCGAAATCCCAATAGTTGCCAAACTGTTTGAGGATGCTTTGAGGATTCCTTGTGGCGCTGTCAGCGGGACATTCTCTCAACTGCATCTGTATATTTATCGCTTTACTTCACATGTCATAGCAACAGCAGGAGCTCCACATTGACATGCCGTAAACCAGAAGCTGAACCCTAAACCCGGAGAACCTCAAAGGATCCACAGAATCGTCAATATCATCATCATCGTCATCATCATCATCCTCATCATCCTCATTCTCATCATCCTCATCATCCTCATCATCCTCATCATCCTCATCATCCTCATCATAATCTTGGATATGACATAAGAACCTAATGGATATAATAAAACCTTGCATTACCAAGCGAGAACACATCCCAAAATCACCAAACCCCCATAGCTGTAGATCGAAAACCCTGGAGCCCATGAAGTGCGGAAAACCTTGCGGTCCTCACTCCTTAAACTACCCTAAAATACCCTAAGCCCCGACCCCCCCCCCCCCCCCCACCAAAAGAAGAAAAAATAATTAATACAAACCCCTAAAGCGCCTGTCGTTCCTTTTTGTTTTTGCAAACCTCTCTCGTGCTCCGCCTCCGTGTCTCCACCGCCGCTGGTGGCTCGGAGGTCCGCTGCCTTCGGCTTAGGGTCTTTCAGGGCTTCAGGGTGTTAGGGAGTTTCGGGTTTAGGTTTCAGGGTTGAGGGAGTTTAGGGGTTTAGGGAGTTTCGGGTTTGGGTTTCAGGGTTTAGGGAGTTTAGGGTCTTCGGGAGTTTCGGGTTGGGTTCAGGGAGTTTAGGGTTTAGAGGGCTTGGGATTTACGGCAAGGTCCCGGTGGAGGACGTTTGGAATCATAGCGCGTGGGATCCGGCCTCTATACCTCTCGAAGCCGAACCATCAAAGTACCAGATTGGGCCTTTGACATGTTTACCAAGAGTTATAGGCCCTAAGCCATAAGCCCAACGACGAACTGAACTTTGAATAAACGCGCGATCCGGGATTCTGGTTACATCCAACCTTGCCGAACCAAGCCCTCCGAAATGCGGAAAGCGGGACGAACTGCCACGACTACCCTCCTCATGCCCATCCATCCAACAAAAAGGCCCCTCGCCTGTCCGACACTAAACACGGCATGGATCCCTAAAATTTACAGTGTACAAGGCCAAGGGTTCGATCAAGGTTATGCCCATGCAACCCTGTGAGAAACCCTGTGAGCGCTACTGGCCGTACACACCCTAAACGCCTAAAGGGCTCAGTCCTCGAACCCTGCAATCTTTTGGCGCTAGGAGCCCCGGAAAACCCCCCAAAAAGGTTAAGGCCAACCCTCGAATCTCCACACACCCCAAACCCCAAATCGTAAACCCCAAACCCTAAACCCTAATTCCTCCAAACGCGCCTCCACCTGATGTCGATCCAGGATGGAGAGCCCGAGCCTGGCGCAGCCCAGGCGCTGCCGCTGCCGCCCTGGGCGTTTTAAGAACTGTAATAAGGGGCTTAGGGTTTTAGGGCTGCGGCCTAGGGCTTAGGGTTTAGGGTACAATCTAGGTTGCTTGAGGTTTGAATGGTTTGAGGGGTCGATTTCGGGTTTTTGGTGGGTTAGGGGTTTAAGGGGGTTCATGGGCTCTGGCAGGTTTCGGCTTTTTTGGGAATGTTCCCGATAACACAGGGGGTGTAACCTACCATACTGTTACTTTGCAGGCCTTGGGAAGTACACGAAGGGTTCATGGCCCTCACCCCAAAAAGCGAAGATAACTCGGATGGGGGTGGACCTGGCTTGGAGCTGAGAAACTCCTCCGCCGAGAACGCAAAGCAAGGCTCGGCCCAGACCCAGGCAAGCTTAAGACTCCATGCTGTCCTAGGATGGCCCCTAAAACCCCCTGAAAAAGACGACGCCCTAAATATGATCCTCTTAGACCCAGTAGAAGGGGAAAAAAAACATCCGAATAATTATGATACCCAGTACAAGGGAAAGTACCAAAACTAACCCTTAAGGCACCCTAAACCCTAAACCCCAAACCCCAAACTCTAAACCCTAAACCCTAAACTCCCAATCAAAAAAGCTGCGCCTGAACTCAGAGTTTGGAGAGCTGCGTGGAGGCCACTGGCGGAGACGACGCTCGGCTCCTCTCAGAGCAGGGGCAGAGAAGGCAGTTAAGTGTTTACACAGGGCTTTGTGGGTTTAGGGTTTAGGGCTTTGTGGCTTTCGGGTTTATAGGGCTTAGGGTTTACCAGGGTTTCGGCAACGCTTGCAAGACACATGTCCACAAGGTCTTCGGGGTTCTGGGTTTGGCGGTCTCGGGCTTGAAGTGTCTGAGGGGTTAGGAGAGTTACATGGTAGGCTCTTTGTCAAAGGCCCGCGCCATCCAAAGGCGCAGGTCCAGCGTCGATTCCACAATGGCGTGGCCATCGTCGTCCTTATGCTGCTCCTCCTTCGCCTCTTCGGCCTCCTCCTTTAGACTGACTCCCTCCTCCATTTTCTCGACTTCCGGCTCCTCCCCTGTTTGGGATTGCTCCTCCACGTCTATCTCTTCATCCTCAGACTCAGACAAGTCGGCCCATGCTGCAGGCCGGTACTGTAGCTGGAGGGCTGCATGTCTTTTTGCAAAGGCCGCCCCTACCCCTAACATCCTGAAACACAAAACGTGCATGCAAGCATGTCGTGCGTCTCGGCCCCACCCACGTCACGTTTCTGAAGCAAGATGCCTGATGCATTTGATGCTGCAAGGCATGTGAAGCTAGCTCTCTTCAGAAGGTTACTTAAAGTTACCCATGAGAAAATGGAACTGAGCCGCGCAAGATGACCGGCACGGCCTTGTTCGCAATGGAAACAATCTGAGCATGTCTGGAACCGTTACACCTCCACAAACCAACCCAACGAGCATTGGGACCAAGGGCCTGCCCCGCTGAAGTCACTGTAGTCTCAGACCGCGGTGTTTCATGCAAAGTGCGGACCCTCAGAAGGGTACTTATGCAGCCAAGTGATGCCCACACAAGCTCCTCCTCCTCTGGCCCGGGGATCTTGAGAGTGACAGAGTTCAGCACAATGATGGTCTCCTCGCCAAAAGCATCCCGCACGGGCTAGGGCGGATTGGGAAGTACCCGGGATCTCTAAGATCTCTAGGATCACTAGGAGGGCCTCCATAAGATTCCATCATGAAGGCTCCGTATGGCAACCTTCGCTTCAGGCCCGACATGATACATCCGAAGGTTCCTCCAAAAGGGCCTGTATCCAGCTCCCAGCTCCGATGGAAGCGCCCAGGAGCCAATGAACCGAACCCCCAAAACGGCCATAGAGGCTACGAGCACCACAGACCCCGAACTCGAGATGCTCTCCAAAGGGCTTTCAAGGTTTTTGGGGGACCCCGCGCACCTCCACCAGCTCTCCGGGCCCCGGCTCTTGTGCCGGCTGCTGTGGCGGCGGTGGCTGCGACTGTGGCAGCGCCGCCAGCAGCTCCTGATAGCCATTTCTCTTGTTTAGGGTTTAGGGTTTAGGGTGTTTTTTTAGGGATTCGGGAAGGTCGTGGTGGGGCTCACAAGTACATGGAAAGGAGTCAGCAAGCCGCAGCACTGCGCGCGGATGGTGCAGGCTTCAGCTTGACCGGAGAAGCCTAACCTTGTAATTTAACCCTGAAAGCCCATACGGGGCTATGTTGGAAAGACCATCTGACCGCCAGCGCCACTGAACCCTAAGCCCCTTAGACGCTACTGCCCTCACTTTTGCGGGTGTGGGGGCTCCAGCTGCTCTTGTTTTGAAAGGAATGTCTCTTGGCAGTTCGAGAAATCGTTACATGGGCATTATAGTAGATTTTCCTGCTGAAGCCCCTGAAGCCCCTAAAATCCCCAAAAAGCTCTCAAGCGCCTTCATAAAAAGGGGGGCCTCCAGGGACCGCAGCATTGTGCACAGCTCCGCCCGTCGACCGAGGTCCAGAGCAACGGCCTTGCGGCTGCGCGCGTCTCTCTCTCTCTCTCTCTCTCTCTCGGTCGGGGGCTCAACAAAATTTGGGGCTGTGTGGTGGCAAACTAGGCAGGGGCAGGATATCAACTTAGACTGATTGACCTGAGAAGCTCGCCACTGCTTGCCAACATGTGTGCGCGCCTCGATGCTGAGCTGCTTCCCAGGCAAGCTGATGTCCTCCGTCTCTTCCCCAGGGCCGAACCCCAACCCCAGGGCCGCAAACCATCTTAACTTACTATGTATATGTGTACAGAAACCTACAGACTCCCCTACATCCAGATGGGCGCAAGAGCGACTGTAACTGTAGGATGTCTGAGACTCGTTGGAAATCACCCAAATACTCTTCAGGAGCAGATTCAGCCACACAAGTATAAGAGAAAGCAACTCAATGTCGGAGTGCCGTAGGAGAGAGGGGCAAGACTTAAATCTAGACTAGGAGACTGCTTAGACATGCTTAGACGCACCCTACACCAGGGCCCTCTCAACGAGTCAGCTGCCGTTCGGCTTCCCCAGAAAAGCCTCGACTCCATTCGGACCTACGAAGGCCCAGGTCCGCAAACCGTAAAAGCCTAGCCTCCACAAATCATATACCCCCTGAGTCCTCAACCCCCCCCGCAGTTGATGGAGCCAAGGGTCCCCCTCAGTCTTGGCCGGGCACAGCCTTGACACGGAGCGGGGCCCCAAACCTGTACCACCAGAATGTATAAAAAAAAACACATGTAATTACTTTACATGTACATGTACGTTTACATATATACATATATATGTATATCTACATATACATACATAACATATATATATATATGTATATATAAAGCTTTAATGGCTGCGCGCCCTGAGGGTCTGAGCTTCAATGAGGGTTGCTGGGTTACAGATGAGGAGAGAAGGGTGGCGGCTTCGTTCGGAGGGTGAAGCGTGAAGACTTCTCTTGGCTGTTACGAAAGCCTAGGGCTTTCTCCTCCTCACATTCGACATACTATCCTTAAAGTACATGGCGGAGGAAGCCCCAACCTCCCCGCCTCAACCCTACCCTGTAAACCTGACACCGCACCTCTACAATAACCCATCAAAACTCCCAAAAGCACGGAAAAACCAACAAAAAACACCCTCATAAACCCCTCAAACATGCGCGCGGCCTCAAGGTGCACGGGGCGAGGAGGTCCTCGATGATGCAGCGCGCGAGGGGCCCAGGCTCGGGCCCAGGAACCAAGTCCTTCTTGGGGGTTTGGGGGGGGGGGGGGGGGCCTTTTGGGAATGGGCTTGAAGGGGTATTACAGTAATACAGGGCCTTGTTGGAGTATAAGGCGCTTTAGGCGGTTGGGGCTTCAAGGGCTCAGCTGCTTTTGGCCCTGCGATGCTCAAGTGATCGGTTGGGAGACATGGCTTTCTCCAGGGTCGGCCCGACTTGCATCAGCAAAGTCCGGGCTGGTGACCACCAACAACAACACCCAGGACCCTGGAAACCCAACGAAACCCCCCGACCCCAAAACCCAAAACCCTCATACCCTAAACCCTAAAGCCTAAATACCTCTCCTACCCTATATCCTAAACTACCCTCCTACCCTGAAGACCCTAAACCCTAAACCCCAAACCCTAAACCTTAAACCCTAAGCCTTAAACCCTAAACCCTAAACCCTAACCTACCCTTCACAAGTCCCGAAGCTGCTGCTCGAACAGGGAGACCGAGAGCACAGAGGTGGCCTGGACGAGGCTGGTCCCACGCTCTCGCAGTATTGGGCCACCACTTTCGTCCCTAAACCCTAAACCCTAAGCCCTGAACCCTAAACCCTAAACCCTAAAACCCTCATTGGGGTCATTGGGGTTCTTGGGAGCTTGCGCGTTCGCGGGTCTCAGGGCCCGCCCCTGGCTTGGGAGGCTCTGGGTTGCAACTGTGACACTGAAACGAGCCGTGATCTTCGTCCCGGCACTTCAGCGGGTTTGGGGTTTCGGGCTTAGGGTGAGCAAACACCTTGAGAAGAACGGCGCAGATGAGGTAAGACTACTTCGCCCCCACTAGCTTCGAAGGGTCCAGCGCACACCGCTCTCACTCGACTGCCTCATGTGCCTAAACCGGACTCCCATACCCCCTAAACTCTGAGTAACCACCTGACTCCCATACCCTCTAAACTCTCAACCCTGAACCAAGCCCATTGAACCGAAGTAGTCAAAAAGGGAGCCCTGCGCATCCATCTGCCCAACCTATTAGAACAGGCCCGCACACTATACCTTAACAATTTAGGGGTCACAAGGGTTTAGCATTTAGGGTCACGGTTCTGCAAGAGTTCAAGGGGCTTTATGTGAACTCAGAAAGTAAAGAAAAGTGGGTTTGGGGGTCCACTGCAGGGAGCTTTTTATTACACAGAGGCACTACAGTTTCGAGGGACTGCCTGTGACCCAACTATTTGTTGTTTACTAGTTGTGCCTCATAAGCCCTGCAAGCGCAGGGCGTAGAAGCTTCAACAATTGAAATTGGGCCCCCCCAAAACCCTACACCCCCAAAACACCTGGACCTCGAATCTCAATTCTCTCAAGAAGCTTTTACGCGGCCCTATACTCGCTAAATAGAAGTGTTTTAAAAGAGCCCTTAAGCCCTAAAACCTGCACCCCAAAAACCACCTTGGACCTCAATCGATGCCCTCAAGGGGCCAACCCTAATAGGCACTCGAAGCCCAAATTGTACACCTTGAAAGTATTCTAGGGGCCCTAGGTCAACAGTAAGCTCTAATTCCGACATCCTCACCCTAAACCCTAAACCCTAAACCCTAAACCCTAAACCCTAAACCCTAAACCCTAAACCCTGAAAGCTTAAGAACCTCAAAGCCCTCACCGTTCGGGTCGTCTGGGGGCGCCAGGCTTCGATGCGGCTCTCGGACCGGGGCTCTGCCTCCCCCGAGGGGTTCTTAGGATGTTTTTTGGGGAGTTTAGGGTTAGGGGTTTAGGGTTTTAGGGTTTAGGGTTTAGGGTTTAGGGTTCAGGGTTCAGGGTTCAGGGTTTAGGGTTGGGGGGGTTGGGTGGGTGTTGGGTGGGTGTTGGGTGGGTGTTGGGTGGGTGTTGGGTGGGGGCTTAGGAGCGTTCAGGAGGGCTTGCGGCGGGGTGTTGGCCCCCATCCTGTTTAGTAGCGGAGTGGGTACCCAAGCCCTACAAGCCCTCAAATAACTGCCTCTACTTGTCACTTGGTGATCTTGATAGACTTCTGTCCACAGGTTCCCTGGCGGTGTGGTGGTTGCGTGATGAGTCTAGGCATGCGTGCCTCTAGTCAAGCAGCGATGCCATGAGCGAAGAACATCACATCCTCACGCAAACAGTGCCTCGACGCTGAACGAGGCTTTCACTGCGAGGGTGGTACGCAGCACAAAGCACAGGCGCAGAAGGGAAACCTGCCACTCCAGTGGAGAGGAGCTGCAACGGGGACTGAGATAAAGCTGGGGGTCTTTGAGGATCTGCCCATGTCGCACGTGAAAGTCTGAAGAGGCCAAAATGGTACAAAAAACGAGTTTGGCCTTCGGAGATGTCTACGTTTTGGACAGTTGGGCTTCGGGATGCGTGTTTGGGGTGTCCCTAAAATCCTCGAGCCCACAAATGGCCTTTGCACATCCCTTCTTAGACACTAATCTCCTTTGGGCCTCCATAAGGCTTCATTCCCAGCAGCGCGCCTGGACCTTGAGGCCCCCAAGTGAGCTTCGAAAGACCTCTTTTATGGCCAACACAAGCCCTCAGACACTGCGCACCACTCAACTCGAAGCGTGAATCCTGAACCCGAACGTCCACGCCCCCGTAACGCCCGAAGCGTTCCCCCGCACGGCCTGCGGAAGGGGCTCGGCTGACGACTCGCTCGGAGGCGCAAGGATGGCCTCATGCCAAGGGCTTCAGGGTGAGGGGTTCGAGGAAATTGGGGGTTAGGGTTTAGGGTTTAGGGTTTAGGGTTTAGGGTTCAGGTACAGGGCTTCTAGGGTTCCAACAGGCAAGGCAGCTGGGGTCGAAGTAAGGGGTTTGAGCACATCCGTCAGTGACCGAAAGCCGAGCATTCTTGCCACTTGGTCTCGGGAGTTCATCCTGCTCGTGAAGCGAAAGCGTGCCATCCGCAACTTGGAGTAAAGGACAGGAGGGCATGGCGGGTTGAACTAGCCCAAAACCCAACCCCCCCCCCCCCCCAAAAAAAAAAAAAAACAAAACCCCAAAAACCCCCCCCCAAAAAACCCCAAAACCGTCAATCCCGAAAATCAGCCCGTCAAGGGCGCGACCTCGGGGATGGTGGCCGGGCACGCGGGGCCCTGCAGCTCCGCAGCCTCAAGGGGCACTCATATGAGGGGAGGGGTTGCGGGAGGGGCTTGAAAGGGTTTTTGGATTTGTAGATTTGTAGGCTTCAGATGGAAATGAATATGGGAGCTTTTTGGGTAACTAAATGGGTATCTTTGGGATTTGTAGGCTTCAGATGGAAATGAATATGGGCGTTTTTTGGGTAACTATTCTTTAGTATCCTCCTTGATATGGGAGGAGTGTCAGGGGACAGTGGGCGTTGGGGGCTGTTTGGCCTTGTACACGCTCGAATTGTTTGTTTTAAGGTGCTGTGGCTCACAGTCGGCGTTTTTTGTCAAGGGGGTTTTAGGGTTATAAGTCTTTGAGGGCTTTTGGGGTTGGCGAGTCTGTTCCATACTGCTACGGGATTCTTGAAGGGGCCTGAGTTGAAGAGTTCTTCGATCTTTCTGGTAACCTTCGAAAAAACCATGTGACGATGTTGATTTTCGTACTACCTGGGGACCTGGGGGCTTCTCAAAGCATCTGAGACGCAGCAAACACACATAGTCTTTTCATCCTTACGGGCGTTTTAAGCTCGGGTTTGGGAAGCCGATGCCTCAACCCGCAAACTTGCGGCAGAGTTGCAGGGAGAGGGGGGGGAGGGGGGTATACCGTATACCCATGCAGGGCTTGAACCTTTCGAAGCACTGTTGCATATACTCTCAACCACCCCCCCTTCTAGGCCCCGAACCGGGCCGCCCTAAGCCCTGTTCTCAGCGCCCCGAGGCCAGTTTACGGCATCGGGTGTATCATGGGATGTGGGGGGGGGGGGGGGGGGGGAGGATGGAGAGTTAACCCTGTTGCGTTGAAGATGAACGCACTGACTGCAAGCAAGAAGCCCACTCCATCAGCGACTTTAGCTGATGGGCTTGGAACATGATCTGCACGGGTGAAACAGTGAAGTTGACCTCAGTCCACAATGCGGCTGAACACATGGTGCAGTGGCGGAGGGGGCTGGTGCGCCGTATTCTACAGTGTAGAGGAACCCTCGTGCTACCGAGCATTAGGAGGTTGGATTGTTCAAAGAGAAGAAGAAGTTACAAGAACTATAGACTGCAAGAACAAGGACTCTGTGTACAGAAACAGTGAACTTTCAAACTCCGGATGCCATCAGCAATCCTCAACTCTCAGCCCTGCAACCCTATGTCTTCTCAATAGCCCTGAACACAACAAAGAGCTCAGTACACCCCTCTAAACCCCCTGTTTCCGGAACTTCCCCCTCCCCCCCCCCATGTTTATTATGATAACCCCTAGGACGACTGTGGACCGTACCTCGAGGCTGACCAGCAGGCGCTCGCCGGTGGAAGACCGCAGCGTCTGGGGAAGTTGGAGGCGTAGGGACAAGGAAACAAGGATCTGCTTTGGGGATCCTATTATGAAGCGAGGGGTCTGTATATGTGTGTCATGTAGTATAGATATAGGGTTCACCAAACAAAAAGGGGCCCATCATGTAGAGAGTCCGCCGACGATTGGGCTCCAGGGCACCTACAACCCCACTCGACTCCCTAAACTCCAAGACTGCAAGGGTTTAAGAGTGGGGCTTGGGCAGGTTCGGAGCAGCAGCGCCGATCCTCTCTTGCACAGTGGCTTGCGTTAGGGGGTTCTGGATTCAGGGTTCAGGGATTCCATCCATCCCCTTCCCCGGACTGCAAAAAATGTCGGAATGCTGCCGCTCGCTCTACACAAAAACCTCTCAGCATGTATCTGCGAAGTGCATAGATATCTTTGTACAATATTTGTATATGTATGGGTACATCTAATATCATGTTGAGCTATATTGTTTTAATTAAAGCAAAGTGTATTGGACTACACTACACTATACTCTGTCATTACATGTGTACTCTTTCATCTGCGTGCTTCCTTGGCCAATGGCCAATCCCTGAAACCTGAGCCCGAAACCTTGAAATAATGAAGCCCTGAAACTCTTAACCCTTCAAAGCCAAAAACCCCGAACCCTCTGAATAACTCGTATATCCCTCCATTCCTTTAGGGTTTACAAACTGCGAGGCCTCCGTCCGCTGAAACTGCGTGGAGGCGCGCGCGAGGGCGATACAAATGTCGGGCTCCTGACGGCTGCTGCAAGGGGCTTTCAGGGTTTCGGGCTGCCAATGCCGAGGTGCATCGACCTCCATTGCCATTGGCGTACCACAAGCCCCCATGCACCCCCTAACTCAAACTGCCAACAAAAAGCTTCAGGCCCTTAAGCAGGCGATTGCACCCTCGTCGTGGTCAGTGCGGCTCGGGAAGGCTTCACAAGACCAAGTACGTACCATGCATAGAAGACGAGTATGACTGGTGTGCATGGTCCTTCGTTTCTGCTTGAATTTGCATGTATGAAGCATCTTGATACTTGAAACAAGTGGCTGGTGAAAGAGAGGGCGCAAATGGCTTACAAGATGAGATGGGCTTCTGCAGTTAAGCTCGAACCCCTCGGGGACGAGGATACCAGTGCAGGCCTTATGAGGTCTGCTTCTTCCGATCCTTCCCTTACACTATACAGATGCAACACAAAGCGCCTTAACTTAGTTTGGCCCTCTGACCCCTCTGAACTCTAAGCGCTGTTTTGTAAAGGACCCCAAAGTGTCGGTGCAAGTGCCAGAGCCTCAAAGATCAACTCTGAAAAACATCACGATAGCAGCATGAAAGCAATCCCGAGCTGGTAAAACCCACGTTTCCTCGCCATTACGTGGTTGCCACTGCTCGGCTGCCTGCGGTGGACGGGCTTCGTGCGCAGGGCTTATGGCCATTTAGGGTTGGGGAATCACCAAGAATCTCAGGGCCACGCCGTGGCCAGAGGTGCTGAGAAACTGTCATACGAAACTATCATGCGACAGTTGAAGGCATCCTGCTTGGGTATACTACCCTCCTTACGACTAACATGCTTGATCCAACTGCAACAGGGTGTTCCCAAGAGCCCCTGAGATAAGTGACCACCCCGAACTTGGTTGTGGAGACAGAATCCAACTCAGCCTTTCAAATAACTTCTTTAGTGTATAGCCTGTAGCGGCCTCAAATTCTACCTTTGCAAAGCCGCTCCCATGCATCCCTGAAACCGACACTACACTTCCCACCTTGAAGGTCGTGGACGATGCCTGCGCCAGGCACCGTCGAATCTCCGCCACCTTAGACGTCTGGGTCGCTCTTCACTGCAACAGCTCTCTGTGTACACGTATCCGGCGTCTGTGCAACCTTTGCAGCATGCTATGTTTGGTGTTGAAGAACACAACAGCTGGCTTATGAAGGCACACTGGCACCGGACCTGAACCCCGAACCCGGCAGTCTCCCTCAACACGAACACCTAAAACCATGAGCTCCCAGCACCAAAGCCTACCAAAACCCTCCTCCCCTCATATACCCAAAACCTTACACCCATTAAACCCTTAAACCCGCAGCCTCGTAAACAAACCTTCAAACTCACAAGCCCGAACCGTCGGCCCTCAAACCCGAGCCTCCAAGGTTCCTGGACAACCATTCGTAGGGGTGTAAATACCAAGTGTAGCAACCAGCAACATGAAATCTTCCCACTGCAAGAAGCGGTTCCGACAGCAATGTGGCAAGTGCCATGGAGATTGAACACTCAGACGATGAACTGTAAACGCAAAACCCTAAACCCCAAAACCTTCCCGAGGCCCTAAAAACGAAGCCGGTCGTCCCCAGACCGTCAACCCACCCTGAACCCCTCAACCACTCAAGCCACCGAACCCTAAACCCTCAACCCTGATATCCCTAAACCCGTTAAAAAAACCCTAAAAGCGCTTAAGAGCCCCTAAACCCCTATACCCCCCCCCTGGGTAAACCCTTAAAAGCCCCTAACCCATAACCCCTTAAAACCCCCCCCCCCCCCCCCCCCCCCCAAACCCCTATACCCCCCCTGAGTAAACCCTTGAAAGCCCCCTAAACCCATAACCCCTTAAAACCCATAACCCCTACTATTAATCCCCCTTCGGGTCAAGCCGCGGTGTGTTCGGACATCGGCTGCACGTGCCGACCCTGGGAGGCCTCAGCAGAGGGAAGGGCTTGTAGGGCCCTTTATGGCTTTCAGGGGTTTATAAATCCTAGGGCCTGTTAGGGCTTTCACAGGGTTTATGAATGGGGCCTTTTAGAGTTTCAGGGTTTAGGGTTCGAGGTTAGTGCTTTCAAGGGGCTTCGCAGGGGCTTTGTCCTTTTGGGCTTTGACAGAGTTTGGTGGGTGAAGGACCGCTGTAGGGCGTGATGGGGTTGCACGTGTTGCTTCTCGCTGGGCACGTCGCATTCGGCAGGTTGTTGCTCAGCGCGAATGTTTCCACTGCATTGCAGAACGCGCCGCATGAGGCCACAGCAATCCCATCATGCACTCTAAGCCCTGTACCCTGAGCCCTCTTGGGTGCCCACAAATACTCAGGGACGGTCCCGAGGCTGGCACCAGATTTTGGCAGGTGCCCACCTCAACCTGTAAATCTACTCATAACTTTCCAGAAGCCCGGATTTGTTTACAGGATTTAGGGGTTCAGGGGTTCATAGCCTGCAGACCAGAACCTCCACACAGCATCTTCTAATCCACGAACAGATGAGCCTGTCAAAGCCCCACCCATCTTCGCTGGCAAGCCCGAGAAAAAGGCCCCCAAACTACCCGAAACAGGGCTTGGGGCTGCTAATTTCTGAAGCCATCGCTCCCCAAAAGCTGTTTGACTCAAGCCCCCTGAGCCCCCCAAAAAATGAAAGATGCCCCAAAACCCTCAAAAGCCGTAAAACCGAAAAAAGCCATGGAGGGAGGAGACTCCGAATCTTGGCGGCGTGGAGGCGGGTGTGGGGAGTGGGGGGTGGGGAGGGGGGGGTTGCGCGAAGTTCCGAGCACCTTGTTTATGGTAATTGCCTTCTTTTAATTGTGAATCTATAAGATACTGATACAGACAATATGTACATATATAACTAGTATTCATACAAAAACAATAGATTTAAATATTGTAGAATGGACCACACGAGGGGGTGGCCGTAACCCTAGAGCACACGATGTCCATAACATTGGCGACTTGTTGTAATAGATGTTAAAGTAAGGTTTAAAGCGATCTTTCAACTTGGAGCCCTTGTTAAAACCAAAAGACCGCCCACCAAAAACGAAACCCTCGACCCAATGACCTATAGAGTCCTAAACCCTGGAACCTTCGAGCCTGCAACCCTGGACCCCCACTTCCAGTCTCCATCCCACTCTCCACCCTTACTTGTGAGCACGCGGCGGGAGCGGCCGCAGCGCCGCGGCCAGAAAAAACTGCAAGTCGCAGGCCGTCCGCCTCGGGAACAGGTTTTATAGGCTAAGGATTCGTTGGGAGCCAGTCAGGGGTTGTTGCGGGGTACGCGTAGTTAGGGATACTTTGGAGGTATGTCGGGTCATTTAGCTTGGCTGTTCGTCATGGATAAGGTGTCGTCGATAACGATACAATGGAACACAGTTGAAGCTTAACAACCCTCTGATTCAAAAATGCTCAGCCGGCGGTGGCAAGGATGACTCCACTTGAATCATGAGTCCGCTGGGACCCTCACAGCGGAATCTCAAAATCCCTAAAGCCCACATTGCAATGGCCCAGGCTCTACTGACACACCGAAGCCACGGCCCCCTGAACCCAACCATGATCTGCCGTTGGAGCCTGCATCAAGGGGTCCACTGCAATGAGGACCGGGAGAGTGAGGCAAGCCTGAGAATAGTAGGTAGTAGTCATAATAATAATAACAATAATAGTAATAGTAATAGTAGTAGTAGTAGTAATAGTAATAGTAATAGTAATAGTAATAGTAATAGTAATAGTAATAGTAATAGTAATAGTAATAGTAATAGTAATAGTAATAGTAACAGTAACAGTAACAGTAACAGTAATAGTAATAGTAATAATAACCGTAATAAGAATAGTAGTACTAATAATAATAGTAGTAGTAAGAAAGGGTTGAGCCTTCCAGCCGGTATGAGACAGGAGTGTGGCATCTGAGGAGACTTCGCGTGTCTTACAGTTGCAGGTGGCTATCTGCGAGCAAAGGCTTTTGCCGCTTCCCCAGGTACTTCCCGAACTCTGCGGTGAGGCTCCGAGCTGTAGTCGAGAGTGCCGCTCTTTGGTCTTTCTTCCCCACCCCTTCAGCCTGGAAGTTTGTTTGAAGCATTATGAAGTAGGGCTTACATTTCTTGTATCCCCAAAAGGACACCAAGTAGATACACTCACCAATGTTGTGAAGGAACCCTGGATACACTAATATAAAAGCCTGCTTCATGTCCCTGCAGGAGAAACTTGAAAAAACGTGGGCGCAAATCCTGCCAGGCCAAGCTGCCCACTCCCCCGGGATCCCTAAACTTGCAAGTCCTCGTTGCGGAGGGAGCTCAAGGTTGTGGTTGCTTTTCACAGCCCCACGCTCCTTCACGAACTTGTAGGAGTTAAGGGCTTGGGATCTACAGTGGGGGAGCAAGGGCTTATAACCCTAAACCCCTAACCTAAACCCCCTAAACCCCCAAACCCCTAAACCCTTAAGCCCGAAAGCAGCACTGTTCACGTCCAGGTAGCCACCGGCTCCCCGCTGGAGGCCGTGAGCCAAACCGACGAGGGCAGCGCCACCACCTGCGTCGGTAGGGTTTAGGGTTTAGGGTTTAGGGTTTAGGGTTCAGGGTTTAGGGTTGAGGGTATCGGGTTTAGGGTTCTGGGTTTAGGATTTAGGGTTTAGGGTACAACCTCGCCAGCGTCTTTTCTGCCTACAGTCCCATTTCGGATATACATCACTCATTGTAAGGGCAGAAATAAGGGAAGCTAAAGCAGTACTTGGATATTTTGCTTATATCAAACAACCATGGACAAAAGGCTTGCCAGGGGGCGTTCAATGGTGTTCTCCTAAGATTGTTCTCTCCACTGTTTTTTTCTTGGTGGGTGCCTAAGAAGCACGAAAACATTGACCAAACAGAGAACATCTAGTGAAAACAATCTTGGCTTAAATAAGGAACAATTTCTGAACAAATCGCGAAGAATGGTAAGCGGCCAGGCTCTCAAAATTATCGGGAATATTCTTTGAACTGTTTCAACATGCTCCTCCATATGTCGGATGAACCTCAAAAAGAAACTCAAGGGAGAGAACCAACCATTACGTTCAACGTTGTGGTGTTTTGCTCATAGCTTGTTCTGGGGTTCTACTTGTCCGAACGGAGCACGTGGACCCATCAGCCTTTTCAAACACCTACCCTAAATAGCTCAATGAGCCCCTAAACCCCAAACCCGAAGCCCAAAACCCTAAACTCGAAACCCTAAAACCCAAACCCCACCGTAAACCACCTAAGCCCTATCCTCCCCAATCAACGACATCCAATTCGGGGGTGCCTGCGCCGCGCACAGGGCCAAGGAGGGTGGGAGCTCCGAAGGTGCCGGGCGCGCCTCTTTGCGCTTCTTGGGTTTTGAGGGCGAAACCCTAAACCCTAAACCCGAAACCCGAAACCCTAAACCCTAATTTGGGGTTTAGGGGGTTCAGGGCTTAGGGTGGTTTAGGGCAGTTTAGGGTTTTAGGGGGTTTGGGCTTGAGGGCTGCCACTTGAGGACTGAATTGTTGCCCATGAGTGTTGAGACACTGTATGGGTGCTGCATGCTTCTGAAATGCCGTGGAATTCCGACTGCAACCGTATCTCTGCAAGCGCAGTGGTTGTCATCGCCGTAGTCATCGTAGTGGCCGTACAGCATGGTAGTTGTCACTGTAGGCCGTACGAGTATCAGTTGACTACGCAAGATTTCTACTTGCAAAAGGACAGGAGGTCATAACATTCAAAGCCTGAACCCCATCTTGAACCCCTGCAAAGCCCCAATCTAAACGCTATAAACCCTGCAGACCCCAGAGCCCTATAAACCCCTATAACCCCTAGACCCTAACACCCTAAAAGCGCTCTAGACCCAAAACTCCCAAAACCCTATAGGGCTGAGTAGCGGTCCAAACCTCGAGTATGTCCCGACTGCCGCGTGGAACAGGGTCGGCCCCCCATCGGTTATGCGGGAAATATCTAGAGAAGTTGGGTATCGGTTTAGGGTCGGCCCCCATCGGTTCTCGTGCTAGAGCAGACTTGTCAATTCCACATGACTCCTCTAATCATGGCTGCCTCTTCCAGAGGTCTTGTCCGATGCCCATATAGACCCTAAAACTGATAAACCGCAAAAACCCCAAACCCCCCAACCCACCACCCTCAACCCTAAAAACCCTTTTTCCACTATAAACCCAATATCCCCAATAAACCCTGTACCCTGGCCCAAACAGTTTCAACTTTTCTTCTAGTAGGGATTTAGTATACCCAAAAAGTTTAAAGTTCACCTATTGGGCCCCTAAGAACCCTAAAACCCCATAAACCCTAAACCCTATATCCCCTACAAACCCTCTTTCCCCTATATACCCAGTATCCCCCAGAAACCCTAAACCCTAAGCCTAGAACCTATAAACCCTAAACCCTACACCCTAAACCCACCTAAACACCCCCAACCAACCGGGGCCCTGGCTTCCAGCGACCCGGGCGGCTTCGCGGCGGCACTGGGCGCCGGGGCCTTCGGGAAGCTGTGTGGTCTCTGGGGTATCCCAAGGTTGGGGTTGAAGGTTTAGGGTTTAGGGTTTAGGGTTTAGGGCTTCGGGTTTAGGGTTTAGGGTTTAGGGCAGTTCAGGGTTTCGGGTTGAGGGGGCTTTGGGGAATAATTTGGGGGACAACCTTTGAACCCCAACAGGCCCAAAATCTCGAACTTCTCAACGGACGGGTGCAGATTACAGAACTCTGGGGTGCAGAGATTGCTGTATGTTCAGGTCTCTGAAAGCATGGTCCCTCACAATGGGTTCTCCAATATAAGGAACTGCATCCCAGAAAAGCCAGAGGCCCCATATTTTTAGAGAACAGCGTCGGCTGCCGCTCGGAAAAATCCGCAGGGTTCCAAGTCTGAAAGGAGGCTGCGAGTTTGGGTTCGGAATCCGAGTAGGACCAACTCGGCTGTCTCTTGGCCACGAAGGATATAAAAGGCTATAACTAAATCCGAAATATTGCTGTGAACTCTACAGACCCTACTAAGACCCCGCAACTCAAACCTCTAAGACTCTAAGCCCTGCAGAAAGACACCCAACCAACCGAGCCGAGGCCAGCACGAGGCGCTGCGCCAGGCTCAGGGCGAAGCTCAGCCAAAGCGGATTCAGGTCCACGTGGAAGCTGGCCGAAGCTTTAGGGTGCTAAGGCTTTAGGGTTGAGGGCTTTAGGGTTTAGGGTTTTGGGCTGCAGGGTTTAGGGATTGGGGTTTGGGGGCTCTGGAAAGGTGCGTTTGGGTTTTTACAAGCAGGAAGCATCGAGGTGCTCAATAGGTTCCGGTGTAAACCAGTCTTTCGGCTCAGGCTACAGGGGTTCAGACAGCTGTTTTACAGACACTTTCACAGAGGGGTTAAGGTTTATGGGACTTATGGGGTTTAGGTTCCGCCACCATGCCAGATAGCTCCTTGACATATTGAAACTTACACCTTAAGTGCGATTTAGGGAACTAAGTGGGTTTGAGGTTGACCCTACATCCTGACAAAAACGCAAGTTGGAGCCGAGGCCCGGGCGAGCCCACGAACGCCACGCACACGTTGGCGAATGGATCGTTGGTTCGCAGGGCCTTCGGCAAGGAGTCTTTCGCAGCTCGGGGGGTATCCCGATATGCCAGAGACAGAAGTAGCTACAAGAGCTCTGTGTACTAAATATTTCTACTACGGACAGGAATGCTAGCTCGCTTAGAGACTCAGGTTAACCACTCGGGCTGTATACTGTTGACATGTGTGTTTACTCCGCAGAACACCTTCCACTGCAAATGCTGGCAACTCTCAGACCTTGCAGACGGTAGGTCCTGTGGCCACTCGTTCCCGGCTCGCTCGCCACTCCCGCGTTCAGCATTTACGGCTTAGGGATTTGGGGTTTGGATCTACGGTTTGGGGTGTCGGGCTCAGGGCACTAAATCCTCAACACCTGAGCCTGCACTGCAATCAATGGGGTAAGGTAAGATTCTCTTTCATTTACGCCATAAAGCAAGCAAGGGCATTCGTATTTGCTTTTGCACAGCTTCTTCTGGGACCTATGAATGTTGATTCACAAGCGGATGAATGGCGCGTGCCAGCTTCTGGTACTTTTGCCTCCCTAACGTGGCATCTCCTCCAACCTCCCCTGTCCCTAAAAACCCGAAACCCTAATTAAACAGTAAAACCCTAAACCCTAAACCCTAATTAAACCCTAAACAATTCCCAGACTCAAGCCCGCAAACCCTAGGCCAAAGACCAGGCCTGCGCCATGGCGCCCGCGCCGGGCAACCTGTAAAACTGCGTCTCTTTGGGGAGGCTTGGAGCTCACAGGGTTTAGGGTTTAGGGTTTAGGGTTTAGGGTGTGCAGGGAGGGAGGGTTTAGGGCTTGGTTGTGGTTTGTATAGGGAGCAGGGTGTAGGAGAAGGGAGTTGGGGGTAAGCAGGGTTGGGAGTTTAAAGGTTTGATAACTACTGTAATTATAGCTCTCAGGGGCTACGTGTAGGGATTGCTTCCGGGTCGTGAACTGGGGAGTGACAGTCAAAGAAGAGAGCTTTAGGACCTTTTTAGGGTTGGCAGCTCCCTTTCTCTAGGGGATAAGATTAGGGGGACCCTTGGGGAGATAGACCCTCTGAATAAGGTCCCTGTTTCAGAGCCAGAAGAGGGTTCAGAAGGGTTCCACCCGAATCCTACCGGATTCTCTGGCGAGAGGCTGCGCTGCCGCCCGGCGTGCCGAGGGAGAGGGAGCCGCAGGGGCGAGCTGACCTCTAGGGTTTAGGGTTTAGGGTTTAGGGGGTTGCCAGGCAAACGGGCGAAGGACCAGCTGCTGTTGCGGGGGAGTTTGGATTGAGACTGAGACAGTTCGACTTTTGAGGGTTCAGGAGTTCTGAAAAGGTTCTCATTCTTGGGGAGGGATCTTCTTGCCAGTCTCCATGGTCCTATTTTCCCGCATTTTTGGATCCGCCTCCCCCACTATTAGGTGCGCGACGTTGAGGTGTGTTTGAGGAGGAGCCCTGAAAGGTCCGGGAGGTACTCTTTTTTTTTTTGGGGGGGGGGGGGGGGGGGGGGGGGGGGGGGGCGGGGGGAAGGGAGGAGGTGCAGGTAACCCTCGATCCTGAAACCCGAAGCCATTAAAAACAAGAATGCACGTCATTACACGTCATGGCGCATCCTGGGGCACAGGGGAGTGACGGAGCCCAGGCCCACACACGCAAGCGTCAGGGCAGTGTCAGGCAAACCCCTGTCAGGGGCGCTGGATTCAGGCAGAGGTTTGTTTCCGAGTGTCTAAGACTGGGCTCGAGTTTCTTGCTTGCATGTTGCAAGATTGGGTGAAAATAAATCAACCACTCAGGCAACTCACCAACATGTTGACGCAAGCTGCTCGGCTTTCTTCGCCGGTGCATACATGCAACATGCATACATGCTCTGCGAACCTGGAAACTGTGTTTTTGTGCCAACCTACACATTCCTAGATTCTAAAGCTTGAGAAAAATACTCCGGGACAGGCAGCACGCGCACCTGCTCCAAGTGGACAAAGGCGAAAGCCCTCCAGCCTCAACGACACAAGCTGTACATAAACCGTACACACGTAGTGTACCTGCGAAGCGCCCTCAAAGGGGTGGGACACCTGCCGACCACACAATTCGGGAATGTTTTCAGTTTCCTCCTTCTCCTTTGTCTTGGCTACCTCCTCCCTTTTCCTCTTCCTCGGTTCGGTCCGCCTCGTCTACCTCCTCATCAGAAGAGAACTCCGCCCACAATCGCCGAGTGGTGACGCTGCAGACCGGCGAGTACGACCAGGTGGAGCGCTGGATGTCTTGTCGCGGCAGCAAACAAAATGGATGGCCGGGGCCAGTGCAATTTGCAAAGTGTCCGGCAGTCCTCCGTATCAAATGCTGATTTCCCAGACGCAAGCCATCAAACACATAGACCAGCCCTGACAACTAATAGTATAAAGACCAACTATTCCCACGATTACTGTCGCTTCATACTGTGTTGAAGGGCTGCTAAGAGCTGTAAACCTGCAAACCTGAATCCTAAACCTCTGAGCCTTCAGCTCTCAACCGAGGACTGGTCTAAGGCCAGCACCTTCGCTGCCACTTTGCCTAGCGCCTGCTCCTCAGGTCGGGATTCGGGGCAAACTGGCCGCTACGCAACTCTCGCTCCTAAGACACCCTACGGGGCTTTCGGGATCTAGGGATGTTTTTTGGCTGGCCTGGATACCAGGGAGTCTCTGGCAAAAGCCTCTGATCTTGATTGCTAGAAAACTTCTTAACTCAACCGCATGACGTTCTGATCCCGGCAGCGACTTCCAAACACCAACGCCCACAACTTTAGACCTGAAACTGCCTGAAACGCTAAACCGCGAAAACAACCCAGGAGGCTGCAGATACCAAGTCCACAAGGGCACATTGAGGTTCCCCTGTGGTTGCATGTAGCTTTCCGCAGTCGATACGCACCGAAGCCCAACGACGGATAACATCTTACAAAAGTCATGACTCCAGCATGAGACGTGTGGGTGAAAGTACATAATATTCTGCCGCAGGTATTACTGGTAACAACTGTCGTTGTAAGCCCCGCCGCATAAGCTCTGAGTCAAAAGACCTCTGTTCAGGACAATTCGTGTCGACACAGGGCTCAAGGCTTGAGCTCCCCTAAACCCTAAACCCTAAACCTTAAACTCACATGCTCGGCTCCAGACGACCTCGCTTGCACAGGGGTCCAGGTCGTATCCTTGGCTTCTCGGTGTAGGCGGTTTAGGCTACAGTCCTAAGCATTGGGACTCATGGGCTGCAAGTGTCCCAGTAGCCTTCAAAAACTTAATGCAATGGACAACCCAACCCGCATACCAAAAACAAGCTTGTACCTTCATCCAGGGCAGGTATGCCCAAGAATCCATTCAAAGCAGATCTCCCCAAGCGTGAGCTTAAACCGGATCGACTCCCCGAGCCCAAGCTAAACCCTGATTTTAGGGCCGCAGCTCGCCAGGACGGCAAGGGGGGGTCGCCCGTCATGGCCCTGCAGTTGCTCGGCTCTCAGCAGACTCTTTTTTTGGGTGCCCAAGACAATGTACTGGCCCATTTTTTCATTCTCCAAGGTTCGTGCTCAGTTGCATACTATATGCCCGAAGCCTCTAACTGACAGTAGGTGTCCCTTCTGAAGCATCGCGCACCTCATAGACGAGCCTCAGGTGGTGCAGCGACATAAGCAGCTGCAACTGGCGGGGAGGTGTTGGCGTTCCTTAAACCCCCACCTCCCAACCCGCCCCCCCATGAGTCGCCTTGAAAGTCTCAAATACCCACCGAGCCCCCAAATGCCCAACTGACCCTCCACAACCAGCCCCAAAAATCCATGAAGTCATTCCTCCTCAAAGCTTGCCGTGCTTCGAGCTCAAGCTTTCTTTTTGAAGAGGCGCTGAACTTACAAACACCAGTGTAAACCCTGTATGACAACCCTCTCCATACACCCCGTCAACCATATTGGCACACCTTCAGCCGGCTGCTGAAACCCCCCGCTGCTGAAACCCGAGCGTCCCTATAAGCCCTGAACGGCCCTACGAGCCCGAAATCATTTGCAGTTGCCTGGCGGGTGCTCGCCGCGCCCGCCGCTGCAGCCTCCTCTGCCTGGCTTCAGAACAGCGTTAAAGCCTTTATAGCTTCAGGGTTGTTACTCGGATCCCAGTTGGAACTTCCGATTTTGGATGAAGGGGGGGTATGGTTGACTACCCAGACCCCCACTTGTAGCTCCTTTTGCCGGGACCCTCATTTGCCAATTCGATTTGGTCGGGAAGTTGAGGCGGCTGTTGGCACATGTCTCTGTCACCTCTGAGCTCTTCTGAGCCTCTCCTGCTGCATCTGTTGAACCTCTGCTGTGCGTTGCTTCCGCCTTTCCTGGCGCCTGAGCCCCTCTCTTCTCTTTCGGGTTCTGGATCTTTCTGAGCCTCTTCTCCTCATTCTTCTCCTGGTGGGTCACTCGATCGAAAGAAATGCTTCTTCTTTCAATCTTGTCAGTGCCACTCGATGTGGTCAATAGATGCCGATTACCCGGACCGCGGAAATTCAGTCTTCACGTGGGCCCAACTATTCGTTGAAACCCATCCTCAAAAAACACATACTGTGTCAATGGCCCTACGCGATGACTAAGCTCACACCCCGAATACAGTAATTACAAGGACTCCCCCCAAACCCCTAAACCCTGGTATGGGGAAAAACTCCCAAAATCTCGGCAGAATTCGGCGCCTCCGAGTCGCTGTCACAGAAAGAGGCGCGCCGAGCACTGGCGCGGGAAGGGAGGTGTCGTTTAGGGTTCAGGGCTCATAAGGGGGTTTAGGGCTTAGGGTTTAGGGTTTATAGGGTTCTGGCTCATGGGGGTAAGGTGTAGATTTCGGGTTCTGGGGCCTTCAGAGCACGCGTTTGCAGATGTCAGAGGGCGTGGGAGGCTTTGGGTGATAGAGGTCATCTTTGGAGTGGCCTTTTTGGGGCCATCTTGCGGTGCCATCTTGGAGTGGACTTGGCTTCTGGGGATGTTCTTAGAGTGGTCTCGGAATGCTCCTGAAATGGGCTTACACTATTTGGGGACGCCGACAGAACTGGTTTACGAATTTCCTGTTCTTAAACAGACAGTGAAAAATCTCCATGCCGCCTTTATGACCTGCCCACAATGCGACCCTGGAGCCATCCCCCCAGACCTCGACTGCGACGAGGACAGCGCTTGGTCGCCACGGTCTTGCCGGTCTCCCAGAACATGCCTCAGGCGCAGAATTTCTAAGGCTGTTGGGGAGTTGGGGGGTCTTAGGGCTTGAGGCTTATGGTCAGGAAAGTTTAGGTTGCACACCCCTCAAATACAGTCAAGGAGTTTGGGCATCTGCCTCGGTCGGCCCTAACGCCCCTAGATCGTGATTTGGAAGGCCACCGAGCTGGCCCTACAAACCTTGGCCCTATGAGACCCGCAACCCCATAGGCCGAGGTTAACCAAACCTACAAGCCCTACAAGCCCTAAACCCCTATTTTGAGCCCCTACGAGCCCTGAACCCAGGCAGCCGAACTCAGCTCATGGTAGTGTTATTTAGCGTTTCAGGGCTTCCTGGGCCACTCCTGAGAAACTTAGGAGAATGATGGATATACGGAAACCCTAAACCCCTAAAGACCCTATACAACCCCAAACCCCTTTGGGTTCAATGATTTTTCTTGGGGGGCTCGAGGTGCTGAGGGCTGTGAACCGGGTGGCCCGGGGCTTCTAGGCCGCAGGCTCGACTTTGCGCATCGTGAGCTTGAGGTCCAGGGCCTGGCTGAGGGTTGAGGGATTATCGGATTGAGGGTTTTGGACTTAGGGTTTGTGGGTATATGGCTTATAAGGGTTGAGGGTTTAGGGCTTAGGGTTGAGGGTTTCTGGTCTCGGGTTTGAGAGCTTGGGGATTACGGCTTAGAGTTTAGGATTTTGGGGTTTGAGAGCTTAGGGATTCGGGCTTTTGTATTGGGCCCCAAGCTCAATCCTCAAAACCGGATGCCTGAAGCCATATACCCTAAGTCCCACACTCGCGACCTTGAGGAAGATCCCGGTTTCAGAGCCGACTTGAGTGGAGTAGGATTTTTAACTGGGGGGTGCCATTTTTTGCGGTTCTTACAATGAAGGGCAGCAGTATTTTGGGGGGCATACCAGGACGCCCCCTGTTTTGGGAGTTTCTCGAATGGGACCCGACACTGGCTGCCTGTGCCCGATGGGGGGATGTTCACTTGCTGCGCTGGGCTTACATGGCCTTATGTTTTAATTGCCTAGTAGTTGCTGCTTCCTTCTAAGTGTTAGTATTTTTGGGGGGGTTGTTCGCGTTGCTACAGGAAGATGTATCTTCAGAAGAAATCCGTCTTTCCCAGCTGGCCAAGGCGCGAGGGTTGGTGTCAGGGTGATGCGCGCTCCGTGTGCGGAGTTGCTCGACTAGGGATCGCTCACTTTGCACCGAAGACCACAAAAAGCATCGACCAATTTGATCTAACAAGCGCGCTTGCGCGCATGTATCTCGCACAGGGCTTGGCGATCCCATCGTCGGCTGAATTTAGACTTCTCCCTGCCGGGCTGCTCGGCCTTCTTTGGGCCCTTGGCTTCTGCGTGGCTGTTCCACACCTTTCGAACCCCTCGATCTGGCTTGAAATTGTCGGCTGGGCGTTGGCAGCCGGGTGCCTGACAGGACTGCACAGGCACAGGGTGCTAGCAGGGGGGTCACGCAAGCCATTATGCTAACTCTCGCTTCTGCATCACCATCATAGTTGCTACCACTGCTTTGTTGCCACTACTCCTACCTTCCAAGAATACGACTTCGAATATACGAGCAATGTCATTGCCAGTGTAACTGCCATCGTCATTCATACCGGACCATTTTCTCGCTATTTCTTACAATTACTTTAACGTCAACTAGGACCATTGCTATTTATTTCGCGACTTCAACCTGCGGATCTCATTTTCCCAACAGCATCAGCTAGCGCGGTCAGGACCCAGGTCGACAAAGGGTTCCCACATATGGAAGCCCACCGAATTAAGCATGATTCTTACTATGTCCAAAGGCAATTAATCTCTTAGGGTCGGGGTCCAAGATACCTGTAGCTGAGGGCAAGCGACCAATGCAACCGCACAGCTGGGACATCCCTTACAGTCATGCCCTAGAAACTTCAACATGAAAGCAAACTCGAGACATTCCACTGCAAGGCTCTGCACACTGATTGGTGCCGAGTGATTACTCCTCCTGGGCTCACAACCTCTTCCAGAGCACGAGCCTGACATTCAGACTCTGATTGAAGGATTGCGAGCTTCGGGATTGAATGCATTGATGCAACATGAAATCAGGGCTTCCGGGCAGCTCACGGGTCTCACTGGTCTGCATTCTGCTCCTGTCTCATCATGATCAGGAACTCAGTCCATGCGTTTCTGGTCTGCAAGTCCTCTGCCAAGAAACTGCGCAGAGGTTCCGGCATTGCGTCTTGATGAAAGATCCCTGGCAAGCACAGGGCCAGCACCCTCCGTGCGCGGGCATCCTCAGCCAGCTTCCGATAACATGCCACAACCAGAGAAAACAATCTTATTGAGGGCCGCTGTGCAAGGAAGCCCATCACTTTCGCCAACGACGTGGCTCCCGCATAGAAACGTTCCGGCGAGTCGCACATGTAGCTCAAGATTTGTCGGCGAGAAAGAGCTGTCTTCAGGATCAAAGCCGCTAGCCATCTGCAAGATTCGCAGCCATATTCCTCAGCTCACACACAAGTTGCAAGGCGTACAGAAAAAACTGCCAATCTGACGTGGCCTTCAAAAAAAGACTGAAAAGCAGGCTTGACCAACGCCTAGTTTCTAGGTTCTTTAGGCACAGCGGGATGATTTCGGTGCCCAACAGCTGCTCCGTGGCTGCTTCGTGGTTCCGTGAAAGCATTGCTGCAATGATGCTGAGTGCACGTGTACGCAATATCTCCAGGCGGTAATCTCCGAACTCATTCAAACAGGGATATAGCACCTGAGGCATCCCGGCCGAAAGCAGCGAATGGCAGGTGTCAGAGTGCTGTGTCATGTAGTAGAGCACCCCCAACGCATTGTTCGCACGTGCGATTGCAGCTGCTGTCAAGGCTGCAGGCCTTGCTAGCTGCGGATAGACGTGCACCACCTCCCCAAGTAGAATACTGACCGTGCCGAAGGAAGACCAAAGCAATGGTGCCAGCACTGCCTTCTCGCCAGGATAGGTAGCTGATTTTCGAAGACTTTGTTGTGCCCACTCGTTTAGCGCGCGTAAGGCCTCAACTCTTCGATCACCTGCCTGTAAGTCCTGGATGAAGCACCCAACGAGAAGAAAGTCATCCATGTTTGACTGCGCACGGTTTCTTACTATTTTTTCTGGGCTTGGGCCTCAAGTGACTCAATTGAGGTGCTGGGTATCAAGATCAATGCAAGGATGGAGAAGCAGATGACAAACACGCTGCCCAGCAGTGGATGGCTCCCAGCGAACTGCTGCCAGTGCATCATGAAATGTTCATAATCAACTAGCGCCCGACTAGAAGGTTAAATGGGCGCTCGCAACACACAACTTGCACAACTTGTCAGGCGAGAAAGGCACATGCAACGGTCGTCCATTTTAGTGCAGGACTCCCCACAGCTTAGACTTGATTGGGAGGCCATAGACAGTGATTTGGTCTCCCGACGCCCCGCCAACAGTGAAACCAAGCTGGCCCCACAATGGGAGGGCTCACCTAGCCTCACATTCCATGCCAAGGTACAAGGGCCAAGAAGCCACGAAGCAGTGCCCGGCAGAGAGACACAGAGGGAGAAAGAACGCCTATGCCGCCGCAAACAATACACAGCTCAGTTTGTCAATCCTCTCGACTCCGGAAGCGCATGATCGGTTCCAGGAAGATACCCTGCAAAAACCAAGGAAGCGCAGCGCCTGACAACCTCGCAACCCCTTCAGACACCCTAGACTCTACGATACTTTACGCATAAGCCCGAAGATGCAACCCAACCCGACATGCCGCCACTCTGACTCCCAGGAACGTCGGGATGCAGCGCACCTCCGGGATGCTCCTCTACTGATACCCATCCCTTCCATGGCTGCCTTTGCTCCGGGGACAGGAGGCCCTAAAGAGTTTACTTCAGAATCCTTCAGACATTCCTTGACATCGCTGACCAGGCCATGTCCGAATGCCGGCTATAGAACATTCCTTTAAGGCAGAGGGTATTGAAGCCTTCGGGTTTGGGGGGTTCCTTCTCTGATAGTGTAGGGTGCCAACAAAGGTGAATCATCTGGCTCGGGATAGCCATGGCTCTTCGGAGGGATTGCGGTTTGGAGATCAGGTGTTTAGGGTTCCAAGCTGGCCAAGCTGCCTCCGTCGACGCATCTCCGGCTCCGCGTCAAGGCAGCCAACGAAGATCCGAAAGGTCCATGAACACCTGATATACATGGGCTAACGTATGTCCACAGCTAGGCAACTTTGTAAAAAATGTAAGATGTCAACACCACGCATGTAGAGGCAAATGAAATTCGTCTTGCTAGGAGCAACTCTCACACTTAGAAATACAGCCTTTGGAGTCCAGGTTTCGGGGGCCTTCTGCAAACAGAAGGTTGAGGACAAGGCCGACATCCGTGCACAGGTTGCGGCTGGGAGGGGTGGAAAACAGAGCTGCCACAGAGTTGGCATCTTCACTGCCACTATACAACCCGGAAAATATATTACAAGCTACATCCCGCGGCAGAGAAGCGCCCGCCGGAGAAGAAACACAAAAAATGGGCTTGCATGGGCGTCCTTCCACAGCCCTAGTCAGTGGTCAGCCTGCATCGCAGGCCGCGAAAAGTCGGTGCCAGCGCACATGGCACGTCCAGCGGATGGCAGAAGATGGGGTCGAGAAGCTCACACCGTCACCTTGGCTTGGGGCGGTAGCTCAGGCCCCTGCCTGCTACATCTTCTAGTTACAATGCAAGGACGGGCTTCCAGTATTTCTCAGCCCCATAACCGCCCACACTCCGCATCCTGCAGCCCTGTGAACGTACACCTGGCAGCATCGCTCAAATGACAACAAACTGAAGTGCACGCCGTGCTGTTTGCCAGGCTGCTCGCCGCGCAAGCATGTTTGCAGTGCGCATCTCGATGGGGCAGCGGTCGCGCCAATGCCCTTCCGACGCAGGCTTCGACTCAACCTAGACCCCCTAGTACTGGTTCCTTTTCAAGAACATAATTTTCTCAGCACGAACCGGTATCCCCCCCCCCGCCAGAGTCCGTGGGAATCATTTTTGCCTTTGTTTGCTGTTGATGTCCTGGCTCTTTGACGTTCCAGTTCCTTTGCCCGTCCGCTTTGAGTATCACGTAATTACCCTGACGTAGTGTGGCTAAAGCCGTACAAACTCTTGCCAGATACCATTGGAACGCTTTGAATTTGGGATCCTGGCGGTGCCCAAGGAGCCTGGCTGAAGGCAGCATCGGCAAACGTAGGATGCCGGTGGTACCTGCAAGGCGTGCAGCGAATGGTTGTACAGTCAGACCCCAAAGACATAACAAGTGCAATGGGGGGGAACCTTCCCCCCAAGGAACTGCACGGTATGACTTATTTCTTGGAAGTCATAACATTTGGTGTTCGCTCCAATGAACTGCTGGGATTCAAGCACGCAAAACCAGTATGCACTAGGTCCTTTCGCACGGTAAACCAATGGTCGGAACTCATAACGTTCGCTTTCCCCCCGATGAACCGTTGGTGACACAGTAATCGATCGCACTGTTTTGTGCAGCGTTCCGCGCTCCATGTTTGGCGTTGAGGGCTTTGGG